AGGTCTCAAGACATGGGCCTGCAATGACCTGCATGGCGCGCGCGCGCGCGCTGTGCGGGGGCGCTCCAATGGTGTTGAAAAAACCCTGTGCTGCTGCAGCGGTGCTCAGGAGACTGTTCCAGCGGTGTTCAGGCTGTGGGTCAAAACCGGGAAGGGAAGCGGGTTCACCACCGAACATGAAGAGAACAAACTATCAGGGAGGCCAAGCATGATCAAGCTACAATTCCAGGCTTTGACCCTTGTATCCAGCCACAAGGGAATCCATCAATTGATGCAACCCTTGGACCTACCAGGCCCAGCAACTTGATGCCATTCCCTGGGGTCGTGGCAGTACAGCTCATGGAGTAGGTCCCTTCATATCCGCTGTTCAAGCCAGAGCATGCCCGGTTGTACCTGGGCTCTGCTCAGGCCGGCACGGGCCGGGCAGTCATCAACGACACATCTGCAGAAACCCAGGAGATTCGGTGGTGTTGCAGCACTGGAGCTCCAACTCCGCTGTCATTTCACTTGGCATCAACACCGCGTGGAGCGAGAAGCCGTCAAAAAGAGGTTGACATGAATCTGGTCTTGAAAAGGCCAAGAAACCCCTTTGTCTGGCCTTTTCCAAACTTTTCCACCCCGGTGTTGTTGTTTTGCACGTCAACGTCCGCCAGACCTCACCCGGAGATGTACCCCACTCCATGGACCTAATAGCGATGGCCTCAAGATCCGTCCAGTGTGTCCACCAAGGGTCTTCCCGCACCCACCATGGGTCGTAACCCACCATGTCACGGGCGCAGCTTGTAGCGGCTTGGAATTCGGTGCGATTTCTGTGGTCCGGACTCGGTTTCGCCACTCAGCAGGCGGTTGGAGGGGCTTACCTTAGTCGTGTGAAGCCATCGACCGAGCTGATGGGAAGGGTTTGTCACAGGCGACAAAGGGAAGACCTGTTCAGATGTGTTGTTGTTGTTGTTGTTGCTGTTGCTGTTGCTGTTGCTGTTGCTGTTGCTGTTGCTGTTGCTGCTGTTGTTGTTGTTGTTGTTGTTGTTGTTGTTGTTTGCTGATTTATTTTCCGTGCTGCCCTCGTTTCGCACGTGATTCACTCTGAGTGACCATCTACCATGCCACCAATCAAAAGGGTAATTGCACACTTCTTGACAAACGAGCAAACCATACCCAAACAAGCTTGACATCTACAGAAGGCCTTAGAGGTGCTGACAATGAATTCCTTACAGTTCTCCAAGACATGGGACAATCACCGGAAACCGGTGCCGCAGTGAGTCCACAAACACCTCGCATCAGAATTTTTGCTTACCATGGCTCCAATGTATCGGTATCTTGGGGACATACACAAATCCAAATATGAATCATATAACACACACATTATAGTATGTAATATTATGTAATATGAACCCATCTCTATAGTATTGGGACGCATATGAACCGGTCGCCGGTCGCCGAATCGTACCGATGGTCGTCCTGCGCCGAGGCGCGGTGGAGCTCAGCGCCCCGAGCGCCAGCGTCAAGGTGTCGCTGGTGGCGCACGCCTTCTGACAGGTGGAGACGTCAAAGCCTGGCGCAAAATGTGGCCCTGCCGGAGACCTCCTGCCGTTCTGTGGGTAGGGACCTCCTTAGTCGGAGTCCATGCGGTTCTCCTTTCGGTCAAGCAAGGTACCCTGGTTTTGACCCACAGCCATGGCCCGATGCTTTAGTCGGCCCGGATGCGTCTAACCACCTATGCGCATAGCGAACGAAAAGCACCATGACTCATGACCAAAGGCCACAAAGGCCAAGGCTGTTGACGTACAACGCCAAAGTTGCTCTGGAAGTTAGAAGGCTACATCGAAACAACGCCCTGCATAGGTGCAGAATATGAGGCTCATTCTGGTTTGCGCCATGGTACTTCCGCAGCCTCCAACTTTAAGGACACCATCAAATCCAACCACACACATCCATGATTAGATGCAACCTAGACTGGCCCCAACAGCCTTGCAATGGTCTCTCTCTCTATATATATATATCGGAACACCTGAAAAAAACAGTGCGCCATCTTCGTGGGAACTTTGAGCCGCCCGACCCATCCGTCGCAAACGTCTCGCTGCGCTGGGCGCCGAGCTCAATGAACCCATGGAACAGCTCAAGGTCAGCTGACCGCCCCAAGCCTCCGGTGTCGGATTTCAGCTTAAACCGCTGCACCGGCAGTCAAAGGCAGTCAAAGAACATCAACACCGTCTAGCCGTTAGAAGTATATGTCAAACACAGGCAGCTATTGTGAGAAATTCTAGCAATCGCTACAGAACTGTCTGTATAGTGTGTTGTATTTGCTGCCTTTCGAACGGGAATGTATCAGGAGAACCCCAGCTCCCAAATCAGCTCTGGATAGTTCCTAACCGGCCAAACGCTACACCCGGTGGGAAATCACCTCACTATCGACACAGCCACTGATCGTTTGACCTGTGCTCTTTGCGTGTAGAAAGCTCACTGGAACCCAAGGAGATCGATAACGGGTCCACGAAAAGGTCCTAGTAGCCTTTTATTCTTGTGTTAATTCTAAAAATTAAATGTTTAAACTAGACTAAATTCTACTTTAAGTCATATTTATTTATGGTTTCTAATAGCGAACATTGTTCCTAGTAGTAAGGCCAGGAGGCTCCTAGTAGCGATGCTCTTTGTTCGTAGCTGGTACGTGCTGAGGACCCGTTCCCTTTCTCGATCTACAGGCCAGCCCACGAAACTGGGGCAAGTTTGGATCACAGGGAAAGCAAAAGAAATAGGAACGCCTACGAAAGCCCACACACACACTTCAATCAGAAAGGTTCGCGTTCGATCAACCTCTACTGCAAGATCCTACAAGGGCTCCGGCCTGGGTGCTGGTTCCGTATCTTTTACATGTTCATATCGTTTCCAGCTGGGAGAAAATCACATTGCACACAACTCCAAAGCAAGGAGTTTGCTTTGACGCCCCCAAAAGTGGTTGAGCACCAGACCAGAAAGCACATGGTAACTTGGACTGCAAGGATCACCCAGATGCTTCTACCGGTTCTTCCTGCCGAAACACAAAATCGACACCACCTAGAAATGAATGTCGTAACACTGTAACACATGCTTCACGGGCATGGCATGATGATCATGATGCTTTAAAAAGGCAGCAAACTCATCAATCAAACATTCCGTAATCTTTGTGGGGCCCCTTGTGACCGTCTATTAGGTTGGAGGCCACTCTTTAAACTTCATTATCTCTTCTCACATTCTCACAAAATGCCCAGCTTCGCACCGAGTTCACATCGGTACAAAAGGCCACTCGGTTCAAGCCGGACCTCGGGGGCTGGATCCGGGTGCTTGGGATGGAGATGTTTGTGGTGTTCGTTCTGTGTGTTTAAAAATATACCTCTGAAGGCCTCTGAAGAATCTAAAGGCATGTAACTCTCCCCATCGATTTATTTATGGTTTGCGGACACCAATAAATTCACCAAGTCAGTCCAGTAGCTATACATAGCTTCACCCACTGGAAAAACACAGAGCTCGAGCTGCAGCAAATTGGGGGGGCGGCGTTCTCGACGTCAACCCATCGACCCAGGCCTATCAGCCTATGGACCATGCGTCTGATGTCTCATCGACCCATGCTACATGGATCGAACGCGAACCGGTTGGCTTTGAGACGAACGACCAGGTTGAGACGCAGCAAGTCCACAACAAACACAAGGACCTCACGAGCCGATACGAGCTTCTTTCGGCATGCCCCAATGTGAGGTGGAAAGCAAGCAGTGTGCCCAGTGGGCTTCAGGAATTAGTATTTTGGACCGATGGATGAAACGAAAAGGATCCCATGTCTGAGCTCTGCCACTCTGCCACCGCCATGTCTGAGCCTCCAAACGCCAACTCTGAGGCCAAGTTCAAGGTCTCGCTGACCTTGGGCCATGTCTCGATACCAAGAGCGAGAGAGCGATCAGGTCGACGGGTGGATGGCGTGGATGGCGTGGATGGCGTGCCGCCTTGGATGACCATTTTGCAAACAAAGGACTATCGACTTCCATGATTCCAAGGAGTGCATGATTCATTCGATCCTTGGCAGAAAGAATGTTGGCAAAGAGATTTGAGCCTGGCATCATAGAGGGCATCCGCTGTGCCCAACAGCACATCTGAAGATCACTGGAAATGCCACCTTCCTCATCTCCTGTCTTCTGTCGTTCATCTCGTTGATCCGAAAACCACTGGAAATGGGATGATGTCGAATCTGAGACGGATTGGAATAAAAGACAAGTAGGTTAGAGGCCATCGCTATTAGGTTGGAGGCCATTGCTATTGGAAACAAAGCGGACGAAGACATCGCTGCTCGGCTCCAGGCGCCATCCAAGGTCACGGTCACTGGATCCCCAGCTGCACAAGGCTTGGCACCTGGGCTGGTCCGGGCTGGACCACAAAGTTTGAAGCTGCAAAGCATCTGAGTGCTGTAGTTCCAAGTTGAGATGAATGAAATGGATCCGGATTTTGTGCTGATCACAGGTCTCAGCAAATCTCCTGGATTGTCATCTCCGGGATGGGTGTAGATTAGAGGACACATGCTCAGGCAAGCAAGATGGAATCATCTACAAAAGCTACCTTGTTCATCCTTTTTCCACAGCTCTTCAGTATACCCAAATCTAAACTCCCAACCCCTTGCCCAACGAGCGCCGCATCTTCGCGGCGCATGCCAGCTGCGCTGGGCGCCCCCTGCTGCAGGCTGCTGGGTTGGCTTCCAGGACACCGAAGAAGCAACTGACCCTCAGAAAGTGCCAAGCGCTGACATGCTGAGAGCAGTTCATGAGTGTGAAAACGTTACGTTCCCTCTTGTAGCAAGCCTGCATGAGACAGGTCATTTCACCCGTACTTGCTATCTCCCGGAAACTTCAGGAAAAGCTGGCACCCAAAACCCTTGTGGCCAGCATGCTTCCTGAGATCGGAATCAGTGCCAACCAAGTATGATGATTCGATGAACCCGCACAAAAGAAATGATCGGTGTCTTGTTTCTTGCTGTCAGGAACTACTGCCAGTGTCATGGTATGGTGCTACGATTGCTTGATTCACAAATGCCGATAGCATCCGATAGCCATCAAGGCAGCGGATCCACTGATGGAAAAGCTACTCCAAAAAGAAGTCAACAAAATAGTAACGCTAACTTAATGATTAGTAGTGAAATGCAGTGGAAAAAACTGAGGATTTGAGTTGTGGCTTCGTCTCCTGTTCTCCCACAAAACTGTGCTGCCATTCCAACACTCGTGGCATCGACACTCGTTCTCCTCGAATAGTTATTTGACCAAACTCGACTTGACGGCCGCGGGACGTCTGAAAATTCTGAAGATGATTAGCCCTTTTACCGCGAAAAAAAACATAGTTCCACTGAAGATCCAAAAGTATCGCCCAAAGATCCAAAACATGGACCGTCTCCACCAAGTTTCGCAGGGTTCCAGAGCCTTACCAAACCCTAAACCCATTGCTGAAGAGCTTGGATTCTGCGGAAGCATGCAACCTAGTAGCGATGGCCTCCAACCTAAGAGCCCTAGCCCTATGCATGCCTATGGTGGTTAGCTCTCTCAAGCCGTCGCCCAGAGCCACGGAATTTGGGCTCCCGACGTAATGCTGCCAGTGTAGCCGCTGTTGATTGGATCGCAAGCCCTGAATGCCGGATTGAGTGGGTCTGGGTTTCCAAATGTTCAAAAACTGTGGTCTAAGGAGTATGGAACACTTCAATCATATTGATTATGCTACTTCTGCTTTTCGCTGAAATACCTGTCCCATAGTCTTCTGGATAACTTCAGGTGGATTCGGTAGTGCTCGTCTATATGATTCAGATCTACATTTGGACCCTGGTTGGATCTGCAAGAAGTTCACAGCCTGTGGTCACATCTGTGATGAATTCATTTAAACAAATATCTACATCGCTATTCGGTTGGAGGCCAACGCCATTAGGTTGGAGCCAATCTCTAGTAGGTTGGAGGCCATCGCTATTAGGTTGGAGGCCATTGCTCTTAGGTTGGAGGCCATCGCTATTAGGTTGGAGGCCATCGCTATTAGGTTGGAGGCCATCGCTAGTAGGTTGGAGGCCATCTCTAGTAGGTTGGAGGCCATCGCTATTAGTTTGGAGGCCATCGCTATTAGGTTGGAGGCCATGGCTATTAGGTTGGAGGCCATTGCTTCTAGGTTGGAGGCCATCGCTACTAGGTTGGACGCCGTCTCTAGTAGGTTGGAGGCCATTGCTTCTAGGTTGGAGGCCATTGCTTCTAGGTTGGAGGCCACCGCTACTAGGTTGGAGGCCATCCGTTCGAATCAACTGTGCATGTTAGGCGTACCACGTACCACCTACGACTCCCGAAGCACTCGATGAAGGTCGAGGATTCCCGAGGATTCCCGAGCCCTTCTCGACTTCGTCGGGTTCTGAGCACTCCAACGTGGTCTCGAAGCTACCGGAAGCCATGGTGGAGCTGGGACCTCAGTGGAAAAGTCAGTCTTGTCCCTCTCATATGTACTTTAGAATACTTTATAGAGATCTAACAGGATGTTCCTAATATATATATTAAACATTATTAAACTAACTCTACTACAAAAGGATGCTTTCAGTATGTGTCTGTCCGTAAAAACGCCATCCAAGGTAAAACGATCGCGGAGGTGGCTTGGGCTTCCCAGGAGGGCCACGCTGTTGGAGGTCTTGTTTTGACCCAGCGCAAAATGAGACGATGCGTGAAGACAAGACTGCGTCAACATGCGTTCAGTGCATGTCTTTTCATTTCTTCAGACCCCCCCACCGTCATCAATCAAACTGTTCCCCTCCACCGTCGAAACCTCCTCCGCCCTCCCATGGAATTTACGGGGACCGAACCCAACCCTAAAAATCACTCAAACCCCTTCCTTCGCTGCATTCTGCACATCGACAGCCTTCTTTTGTTCGCTCGGCCACTGCGAAGAAGGTCTGAAAGTGCACGACCCGTGGTCTCCAGCACTTATGGCCGAAGCATGGTGGACCGAAGGGAAGTCCCAAGAAGCTGGATGGATAGTGGATTGGAACACCTGGTGAACATCTTCAGACCGAACTAACAAGGCCCAGTCGACAACAAGACGTGTTCGTTCTCCAGTCGTATTTGGCACTGAATCGAAAGGTGACAAGGACCCAACCCAACAGTACACAACATGAAGACATATGATGATCCAAATCAATCCACAAATCATCCAGATCCGAAGGATTGCCACTTCAATTTCAGGTGGAAGACTTCTGGAGCAAGTTCCACCAATGCTCAGCCTCTCGCTTCACCAACCTCAGTGCATGGTGAGGCTTCCAGAGGTGTCCAGGTTCACATGTCTTTCGCTTCTGGGCAGTACATGGCCCGAGTGTAGACCATTGATATATCACGACGACTACGACTGCTACTGCTACTGCTACTGCTACTCCTACTCCTACTCCTACTCCTACTACTACTACTACTACTACTACTACTACTACTACTACTAATTACTACTACTTTTTCAACTATAACACCAACATCAACAGCAGCAACAACAACAACAACTCTGGGGCAACGGGCTTGTACGAACAATCACAAACAGCAAAAAAACAGTGGGAAAAGTCCAATTTCCACATTCTGCAGGTTCCAGACTGCTTGGTGACAGTGTTTGGATGTGCGATGGTTGTCTATCTGCACACTTCAAGTGTCTAAAACATCATCCTCCCCTCAAAACCAGCCCTTAGCTCACCTATAACCCTCACCTCCATCTCTTATCCTCCTCACCCACTGCCCCTCACCAACTCCTCCCTTTACTCCCCCTGCTTCACCTCCACCAGCCTTCGCCCAGGCGCTTCAAGGTGATCCGCGAGCTCCGCAGCGCCCACGAGCACTTCTCCGGCGCCAAGCGTCGGTGGAAGTCGTTCAGCCGCAGGCCGAAAGGCCGCCCGCCCAGCTCGATGAGCACCTGGATGAGGCACGCGGAATTCCCCGCGGGCGCGGACTCCGCGCGCGAGGGGTGGGTTTGTTTGCCGGTTCGAGCTCAGCATCGATGGTAGGTGGGACGGTGTGGGTGGGGATGGTGAGTAGGTCCATGGTAGGTGGGACGGTGGGGTTTTCTGAGGGGCAAGTCGCCCCACACCCAGGTGTGAATCAGCACCGAGAGGCTGTGGCGCTCCATTCGCCGAAGGCGGCCTTCACCTGAGATTCCTTGACGTTTTGGAGCTCCTGAAGCGTTTTTGGATGGCTGGGCTGTGAGCCCCACAATGGTACACCGAAATCCAAGAAAACAGCTGATGCCCTCAGTAATCTGTAGTCTACCCAGAATCTGTAGTCTAGCAATGTCTAGCAGTCAATCTGTTAAAGGGAAGTTTTCTTCTTGTGTTACGTTGCAATCAACCCCGTGGAAAGTCCAAAAGGTGGCGCGACGGAACCATTCCCTTCCAAACCTCTTCGTTTCAATCTCAGGAAGACCAACAAAGGTTGAAGAACCCTATAGACTATCCCATAGGTACCCCAGGTGACGGGTCCTATTTACGGTCACTGGCTACCTCTCTGGGGAAACCTGTAGATGGTCCTCAGACTGATCGAAGGAGATGTAGACTTTGATCTCCGTATCTGTCTGCTGCCATGCATAGGTGAGCCTCGGGTCGTGCCATTCCCAGCTCTGGAAGGTGGCCACGCAATGACCTCTTCGAGGACTAGAAGATACTGGACTAGAATGACCCATAAGCTGGACTGGTTTCCGTTGAGGCGAAGGAGAGTTGCATCTAATATCATCGCTGGTAGGTTGGAGGCCATCGCTCAGGTTGGAGGCCATCGCTTCTAGGTTGGAGACCATCGCTTTTAGGACCCTCGTACGGTGTCACAAGATCGGACCACTCAAGTCTCGTCTCAAGTTGTGAGGCGATCTGGCTGAGTTTGCGAGAGACGGTGGTCCTTCACATCCAACATGGGCGACACATGGGCGACGTTCTGCTTTCTTTACAGTCGACACATGCAACGGACTCGCAAGACTCAAGATTTTGATCAAAACGTGTCAAAATCTGTCAAAAGGGTAGTTGATCTTTCATGCCAGGCAATGCAAAAATTCCACATAGAATCTACAAGTTCCATCCAAAGTCTTCTCCCCATAGCTTCCCACCGTTAGCCTCCACCTGATCCACCTGTCGCCCCGATCCACCCTGCCCACCCGAATCCGCGGAGCTCGCGGACCGTGGTGGGCAGCTTTGGGGCTTCATCCGGTACGGTCAAGGGGTCTACCGGATCCACCTGTCGTTGTCTGAGAACGTGAGCTGTTGGATGTGATCTTACAATATGTAAGATAGGACCAAGGAATTAGTTAAATGTTTATAACATGTTTATAACATGTTTTAACGCTTGGAAAGAAGAATCGGCATCCTTAAGAAGCTCCAACATGAAAGAAACACGGACAACTGAACTGCCTTGCACAAAACATGTGTTTTTTTACATTGCTCTTGTTCTCCCCTATGACCCTTTCTTCGTGAAAATGGGTGTTCATCAACTGGCTGCTAGCTTAGGGGATGAGTTCTCGATGATTGGTGGCCTCCCTTCCAATTTAAACCTCAGAACCTTAGTTGTTTTCCTTCTCGACAATGTCTTCTGCATTCACTTCGACGACAACTTGGTAGCCAACTTATGCCGCATGTTGCACGCATTTTCTGAACTGAGCTGGGAGGGAGGGATCTGTCGACTTGATATGTGAAACAAATGGGTGGTATGGTTTTTGATGGTTTTTGCTACAGGTGTTTGATCCTCCCCCGAGCAAACGCCCTGGTAGCGATAGATGTCGTCGTCCAACACGCACATTTGGCGAGCTCGATCTGTTTGGCGCTTTGTCTCGCGTCGATCCGGGTCCAGACCTGGATGGATGTTAGTAGAAATATCTATTGGGATTTGGAAGGGAGTGTTGTTTGAATGCATCAGTATATGCATATATGTAGTGGCAACAATCCCTGAGGACCAGTTGATCTCAAAAGAAGCCAGGACGGCCGGAGAAAAGACTGCTCAAACTTCCTGCGCCCCACCTTCCACCGCAATATCATGTCCAACATCTCTGGTCTACACCAAGTCCAGGTCTGATCATGTCTGATCTTCGGTTCACCGCCTCTCGAAACTTCCGGTCCAAACTGCAGGAACAAGGACGCTACGAACGGAGCCTTTTGGGCATCGCGACGAACGGACCAAGGACGCGACGAACAGGGCTCCTCGTCTTACTACGAACGGAGCCAGCAGGAACCAGGGAATCGCCTGGGGACCACCCCCCGCAGCGCCTCCGCTTCGGCCGCGGCCGGTGCTTCAACCGGTGCTTCGGACTGGGCGACGGCGACTTCGCTGTCCACGTCGGCGCTGTCCTGACGTCGAATCCACAGCATCACTTGAAACAGAAACGGATAGAAAAACTTGAAAATCCCAAGGGTTGAAGGTCCTCTCATGTTTTTTTTTCTGTCACTGTCGTTGCTCTGCCAAATGATGGATCCAAGCTCTGAGTATTCCTTGCAATGGACGACTTGAACCCAGGCGATGGGTAAAATGGGAAACTTCAATGAAGCCTCTTCCAACCTGGTGCACCGTCGGGAAGACCGTGAATCATCTGAAGTTCCGAGCCACCGGGAAACGTGGCCACCGGGAAACGGTGCTTTGCCTGTATACAAGAATCGATTCGCAGATCACTCTGACACTGAAACGCAACTCCCAAAACCAAGCTATAACTCGTTATCATCACATTGTCACTATACTGGTCACTGGTCGTGTGTAATTAGGTCCGCCTTCAAGAATCGAGCTCATTCGAGTGCGCACTTCAGGCAACAATTGGGCAGACTGACACAGTAGCTCATTCGAGGAGCGTCCTTGCTCCTAGTAGCGATGCCAGGCACCCCTAGTAGCTTCCTTGCTATAATGTCAAATCCAAATCAAGCAACCCCTCCGAATGAATTGGCCCCAACTAGTCCTCCATGGCCAACTCCTCTGGAGCACTGTCTTGCGCCTCCGAACCAGTTGAAGCGAACCAAACAAACGCTCCGTGTGTGTGTGCTTTGGCTCCAATCACCGACCGGCGCGTATTCGGCAATCAACGACAGAACATCCGAATGGCCCGTTCACGTTTTCGGTTCATGTTTTTTCCAACATGTTTGGAACAAAAGAGCAACGTACCCTCCCCCAACCCTCCCGGTATCTCCCAGTGACCAAACCGTCCGCCTTCACTTCCAACATCGCCCGGCACTGCTGCCGCTCCGCGCCGTCCGCCGTCCGCGGGCGCAGCGCCTCGCGCAGCGCGCGGCGCAGCGGCGCCGCGGCGGCCGCACCGAGCTCCGCTTCGGCGCGGAGGAGGTCCGCCTTGGCGGCACCTGAGCGGCGCAGAGATGGCAGAGCTCGGAGGTGGGATGTGGAGGGTGGAGGGCAGGGTAGTGGAGGGGGAGATGACATCAGATGTGGCACATGTGGGACATGGAAGGTTGGCCCCTGGAGTGGTAGGAACAAATGATGAAGCAATGATTATGTTGTGGCAGTCATGGTTGGGAGCAAATCGTCAGTATCCATCCCAACTCGGTGAGCGCCTCATGTTGTTCAACCATCATGTGATGCCCGTGTTAGTAACTGCAAAACTGCACAAACATGTCACGAAACATTTGAGGAATTCTGGAACAAGCATAGAACGTCACTTCAGGCATGGAGACCACTAATCTTCCCGGCCCACGAGAGGTGCCAAGAGGAGATGGTCATGATGACCCTCATTCCGATTCTCCTAAAGCTCGAGGCCATTGCGATTCGGTTGGAGGCCATTGGCCGCTGTGTCCGATCCTTGTTGTTTTACCATTGGTTCCAGGAGCCAAAGTTCCGCAGCTCCAAGTAAGCTTGGCCTCGCCGGAAGTACGCCTCCAGCCATGGAAAGGCAAAGACAGGCCTTTGTTATTTTGTGGTGACCCGGATGGTGGGAAGATCCGGATTTCGGGAGAAACATCGTCCTGGACTTGGTTTGAATGATTATATCATCCCTCTTCGCTCACTCCCCTCTCTGGCAGTGGGTGACAAGGAAAGGGATCCTAGACTCACGTGGCCTTTGCAGCCTAAATGACATGTTTTTCTGCAATCCTCCTGCTTTGATGCGAGGTTGAAGGCCATGCCTATTAGTAACTCAAAAGAACATTGCTTATTTAACCTGAGTAACTCACTTGATCGACTGCAACCATCCTCGCCGGCCTTAGCATTCTGGCCCAACTGGAGCGCCTGGTTGCAGGCATCCACGCACTTTTGATGCTCGCCCAGCTTTAAATAGCAGGCCTCACCAAGCCGCAGAAAATCTGAGTGTGAGATGATCGTGGCTACCATCGGATGATTCAAGGCGATTCAAGGATTTGGAAGAAAACACATTGAGCAGAAAAAACATGCTCTATATGGGCGGTCATTGGAAATGATGGCTGTATGCCTCTTGTCCAGGTGCAAGGTCCAGGTCAGCGTCCCCAATTTTACAGGGTATATTGATGGTACCAGTATATGTACAGGATGCAACTAACTAGTCTAGTACAATATTCAAGACACATAATACAATAATTGTAATATGTGTGATATTCAAACTCGTGGTTGAGGCTCACCATTCAAACCATCATTTCGTCCCACCACGTCCCAGTTGGACGTAGTAACCCTCTCCAAAAGTTCCAACTGGGTCATAGAGCAGGCAACTTGGATGCCAACTATTGAAACGCAAGGGGGTTAACTGCCCGACCATGGCCAAGCACGATCAAACATCCATGGCCCATGGCATTTTTTTCCACTTACACAACGCATAGTCGTGCAGAACCCGGTAACCCTTCAATACCCTTCATGCGCTTTGCTTCCAAAAGCCGCACTTGAACTGCGCTTTTCGTTTGATGTGCGTTTTTTCCCGCCGAGTGGCCGCCATGTTCAATCGCGTGGCCTCTTTCAAGCGTTGAACCTCAGACTCGACCGAGAGCCCGCCTCTAGGCCACCCTGGGCCCCAGGAAAAGACCCGTCTGGGCCCGTCTAGGCCACCGTGGGTGATCATGTTTGGTCCAATCGCGGATCACTTGCAACCCAGACTACTTGATCAAAGCAATCGAACAAACATGACCCGGATCCATGTTACAAACGTATTAAGAAGCAATCCACCATTGGCTGCGCAGCCCGTGTTTCCGGCCCGGCCTCTTCGACCTTATCCTGAGGGATCTGGTTGGAAGCAACCGATACCACGTCCTCCATGGCGTGCTGTTCACACCGGCTGTCTGAAGACTATAGGGCATCTTCAAGCTGATCAAGACCCAATCCTACAAAAAGGACTTACTTTCGCAGGTCGAAAACACGGACCTCTCTCCTTCAGATCCTCTTGATGGACCATGTAAAAAGTCTTTAGTCTAGTAGAGTGATGTTCTTCAGTGAGGTGCCTGACTGGGCTGGCGCTGTTGATAGCTGACTTGAGTGAGCAGCTTACTTAGTGACTGACGGGTTCATTCCCATACAGCAGTGGCTGAGAAAGGGAAGGTTGGAGAGGACATCTCTGCTGCGGGGTTGTTGTTTGCAGAATGATCAGCTCCAGCATGGAAAGCTGTGCTGGACTTAAACTGCTGTGGTGATGTCCACCGCACGTACCGCCTCAGAGTTGAGTGCAGCCCGCGTGAGGTTGAAACCTGGTTGAGCCTGCCAGTAATCAATGCTTGCCTCAAAGCTTAACAATGCATGCCCAGTATAAGCATTTACATGGTGAAGCTGCGAATGGCTCATTGCAGTTATAGTCTATTTGATGGTCGCTTCTACATGGATAACTGCAGCAATTCTAGAGCTAATGCACGCGTCCAAGCCCCACTTTGCAGAAGGGTCGTGTTTATTGATTTTAGTTGATACAGAACCAACCCACACTCCGCCTGGTCATGTGGTGATTCATGGTAACTCAACGAATCGCGCGGCTCTGCGTCATTCAAGTCTCTGACCTATATCAGCTTCCGACAGTAGGGAACTAGCCTACCGTGGCAATTACGCGTAACGGAGAATTGGGGTTTGATTCCGGAGCCTGAAAAGCGGTGACCACATCTAAGGAAGGCACCGCGCACAAATTACTCAATCCTGGTACAGGGAGTTAGCGACAAGAAATAACAATAGATGGCAGGGCAGGCAGGGCATCCAGGTCTTGTAATTGGAAAACGTATAGAATTTAAATCCCTCTATGAGTACCAATTGGAGGGCAAGTGTGGTGTCAGCAGCCGCAGTCATTCCAGCTCCAATAATGCATTAAAGTTGTTGCCTTTAAAAGATTGGATTTCTGTTTGTGCGAGGTTCAGGATGTTCAGGCTGGGTATTCGTTCGCAGCCATGAAACATCTACCATGTCAACATGTATAGGCGTTAGAGGTTGGAGGCCATCGCTATTAGGTTGGAGGCCGCTTTAGAGAGGATTCTGCTCGGACGGGTGCACTTCCTTGCAGTCATGAAAACCATCCATTGACTTTACCACTAGGAGCAAGGATGCTACTAGGAGCAAAGGGCATCGCTACTAGGAGCAAGAAGCTACGAACGGGGCTGCTGGCCTTACTACGAACGGAGCAAGGATGCTACTAATCCAGGGTAAACGCCAAAAGGCCTGAATGGAGAATGATTTTGCCTCACGGCCTCACCGATGGTTTGCAAATACTCAAACGGGTCGAAGATTGAAGGGACTCAAAAGACTCAGAGAAGTAAGGCCAGGAGCCCCTAGTAGCGTCCTTGCTCCTAGTAGTTTAAGGCCAGGAGCCCCTAGTAGCGTCCCCCTAGTAGCGTCCTTTCTCCTAGTAGTAAGGCCAGGAGCCCCTAGTAGCGTCCTTGCTGTTGATTCACCTTCCACAAAAAAGAACATATACATATGAAATGTGCCTAATCCAATGCTGTCGCACAAGTCTTACGGTCTTTTTCTGTGCTCTTCCGTCGTGCCAAGTTACGTCATCTGTCCGAATTAAGTCCTGATGGGCTGGTGGTGGGACCAGGCCATTGATGAAGCAGAACACCTTGTGGTAGGCACCCAAGGCTTTCTTGTAGTTCCCTGACCACGAGCTCCGCACGCGTGTGTGGGCTGCGCGGGTTTCCACGTGGGAAGGGATCAGGGACGATCATGGTCAAAGGTTGGGGATCGCAGCCGCCGGTAACAGCGCCGCCGCGGCGGCACGGCCCTCTGCGGCAGGGCACGGTCGTCCTATTTTGGAGACGATGATCGTCATAGTTGAGTCATAGTCAGGGAATTCTCTGGATACATCTGGATGCGATTGAAATCGCAATTCCCCTGATGAAATCAAACATCTTAAAACGGATCTGCTCCAGCCTTCCTGGTGGTGTCGGTTCCCTTCCTCCTTGAAGCTTTCGGCTTGCGCCAGTTGCTCCGCAGCCATGGCGGAGACGGCGGAGATTGATTGAGATGTGCTGGGTGGTCAAGCACGTCGTCGTGTGTCAAAATTTGAAGCTCAAAAGTCATCTAGACTGAAAGATCTTAGCTTGACTTGGACGTTTGGCTCCGCATCAACATCATTAACAATCGGAATGCATCCAGTCCTTGGAATCATGTTGGGGTATATGAATCATCTGCTTCTCTTGCCTTCTTCAAATTCATCTGCTTGATAACTCAACTCTTCCACCGGCCTTCATCGCCCCGAGACGAGACACCGAGACAAGAACGGAACCGAGACCGCGGAGCACCTGGTGAGTCTGCCTGGAGGCTTCCATCCGGTCAATCAAAGAATGGATTTGGAGCCAAATCCCAATGGATCCACCACTGTCACTGCTAAACCACCACTCCCGGGTGCAACATCGCAGCGCTTCAGCTGCTTCCAAGAGGCTCCAAGTGGCGGAATTTCCGGCCACCGTGATGGGAATGCCTCGCAAACAAGGACGGATTGGAACCCGCTTTAGCGGCTAACAGCACGAAGCGCTAACACGAAGCGCTTCAACGGAGGATGAGTGCCACGTGTTCGCTGCCCCCCCGAAAATTTGACATACTCAACTAAGAACCTCCTCTAAAACTCTATCATACCGAGCTGATGAGATTGAAACATGATTGAAACAAAGGAGGAGTGACGGTGGGATTGCCTTTCGCAGAACACTTGCATCATCTTGCTCAGTCCCCTCCACCAGATTCATGCCCAAAAATCACAAAAAAGAGCCCGTCTCTTTCCACTAAGCTTTCGGCTCTGCTCCACTGTGCAGCCGGGACTGCAACTCCTCAACCATCGCTGCGGGTCTCCGCGTCGCGCGTCGCCGCTGCGCCGCGCGTCGCGCAACGCGTCGCCGACGCTCTGGGGCTGCAGGCGAGACGTCATAGCTCAGGGTGCCCAAAGTGCAGGACAACTCGAAATTCCCGGTGTAACTGGAATTCACAGAGCTGCAGGCCTGGGACCAAACTGAAAGAGTATGAAGATCGATTGATCAGAGTTCCATCGGAAAGTGGGTGTGAACCCTCCACCTCTCAGCGAGTTCGCTCATCCACGCTCATCCAGTTTGGGGGTGTGCGGCAAGTTCTCCCAGCGAGTCGGACGTGGAACTGTCCGACATCTTCAATATGAAAATCCCAACAATCCATGTATGGAATGTATGGAATATTTAGTGTTTCAAGGCTCGATGTAGGTGATGTCTAGTATATAGTGTAAATATTATTTCATACGTGGTCTGGGAAAGGCTCCCGCGTTTTCAGGCCGCTCCCTGCTCCCGTTTCAGGCCTGTCCAACTGGTCACCCGAGTTCCACCGCCCCAAAGTGCTCAAAACAGATGGCTGGATGGGTCGAAGCATTGCCTGAAACCCTTGTTGAGTTCAGCAGGCGGCTACTTAAAACAAACCTAGGGAACCTGCTACTAGCTAGGACGCAAGATAGCTCAGGCTATTCATTTGGTTCCTAGAAATGCCGAAGTCGAGACTCTTCAAGGATCTTAGGAATATATAGTTAGGGACTCGAACGGCAGGGTGGTCAAAAGAGAACAACAAATCTATGCATCAAAACCTCCTTCTCACCCCTCAAGATTGCATGAAGAAACCTAAGTTTGCCGTTCGCCTTTCCATTTACTTTCTCAGCCAAAACCCACTCCCAACTCTTTCCACATCTGCTGCCATCGCACCACAGAAGCCACCGTGCCAGACGCCATGGTACTCGTGGGGGTCACGTCCACCGTGCTGGAGCCCACCTGGACGACCGAACATTTCTATCAAAAACCTGGGCATAGATCAACCTTCACTCCAAACATCTACTAAGTCGCCTTGTGGTGTGCTTATGATGCAAACCTTAGCAACTGGACGATGTCATATCAACGACTCGGTGGTTACTTCGTGCTGCGAAGCATTCCACAACGGTCATGAAGGAGCCCAGAAGACCAAGGACATGGCAAAGAATTCAGCCACATGCACTAAACATCCTTACATCATTACTAGTAGTAACAAGAAGCTATTAGTAACAAGTGCATCGCTAGTAGTAACAAGTGGCTAGTAGTAACAAGAAGCTACTAGAAACAAGTGCCACGCTAGTACATCCCTGCCGGTGATGGACCGAATTCCACCATCACCGAGCTTTGGAAGGTCGACACTTCTACTTAGGCATGTCCGATGACAAATGTCATCCTCTATCCGACTTGGACCCCTGTTCAATTGGACCTGTTCAATGATCTATGAAGTTCTGGTCATTCGACGAAAGGGAATCCGCCCGGCGCCCCGCCGAAGGGAATCCCCACCGTCACGGCCACAGCGTTGCTGCAGCTTTGGGGCCTCAGACGAAGACTCATCGACGTGTCGACCTTTCGGATGGGTTGCGGGTCCTAAATAGCGGCTTCCAACCTACTAGCAATGGCCTCCACCCTAGTAGCGATGGCCTCCAGCCACACGTTGGAACGCTATGAGTCACTGAATCAGAGAAAGGTGTCTGTGTGTGTGTGTGTGTCTCATTTTGTTACGAGAGACCTTGCAAACCCTCCTCAACAGATTAAGCCAACCCATCCGGACCCGAAGAAGCCTACAGATCGATCGAATGTAACATATTTCCCAAACGCAAGGCTCCTGACACACAGCTGGCTGAAGCCTTCAGCACTCCCGCATTGCACCTGGCTGAGGTCAAGCCAGGTCGGACGGAATCCGCGAAAAGGTCCTAGTAGCTTCTTGTTCCTAGTAGTAAGGCCAGGAGCCCCGTTCGTAGCGTCCTCCGCACCGGGCCACCGGGCGTAGAGCGAGTAACCAGGCCGGCGAGGCGTCAAAGCGATGCTGCCCGAATAGCCAGAGTCGATGCTACTGCATGCCCTTGGGCCGTGGACATCTTCTCTCAGGGAACCCTGACCAGACCTGTGAGATCCTGTGAGACTCAGGGCCTATACAGTTGGATCCTATCTCGTTGGTCGTGGGCGAACACAGAGATCAACAGCACCTTACTAGTATACCTTCCAGATCATCCCGTGTTTTTTTCTCCGGAGAAAAACCAACACCCCACCATTTCGCTGGAGAAATGGATCTGTCGCTTCTCTGCCCAAACCGGGTTTCCTCACACCGTGGCGGAGCCACCGTGGTCCAGATCGGCCTCGTGGAGATCGTTTCTTCCCGGTCGTCCGGTGGCTTCGCTTGCGCCGCTTGAGAAGCTCAACACTTGTACACTCGTGTCTATAGAACAACATGAAACGCACTGGAGCCATGCACAGGCACCGGTTCTTCGACTTTTTCTTGCGGTATTAAGCTATAACATGGCTATATGCTTAAGCATTGTTGGCTTAACAAACATGGAACAGAAGCACGCCGTCACAGCATCTTCCCGTTTCACACCCGTCCGCCTCCAAATAGGCAATGCCTTCGGTTTGGCCAACGGTGACCTCAACCGCGGCAGCCATGAGAAAACCCTCATTAGTCATTCATGGCCCTATTGATTTATGTGTTGTAGATTTATAAGTCATACAAAATGAGCATCTCCAATCTTCCACCGCTCCGTTCAGGCGATGCACAGGCTCTACCTGCTCTGGGCGCTCCACAGTGGCACCAAAGGCTGCACTACAGCCTGCCTGAGACGTGCCCGAACACCCCTGCCTTTGGCCCTGGAGCCAATGTAGCGGTTCCTTTTCCAACAAAATCAACCAGGTATCGGTCATGTCTATTTCGGAAATGGACAGGGGGTCAATCGGGTAACAACCGAGGAGGTGTTTTGGCGTTTCCACCGACGCCGCCTCGGCCGAGACCTCTGCGGCGGCACTGCTGGCGGCGGTGGCGGTGACGTCTACGATCTGACGGTGCTGCGGGTGCGACCAAGCTGAGGAGCATAGCCTTTTAGGAGGGGCAATGCTAGTAGGCGCTAGTAGGGTGCTGCGGCCATCGCTATTAGGGTGGAGGCCATCGCAAGTAGAAGGGTGGAAGGCTAGTAGGGTGGAGGCCATCGCTATTAGGTTGGAGGCGATTGGTATTAGGTTGAAATCACTTTTTCTATTGCAATCCCATGGAAGCACTCACTCATATGCTGAGTTGTTGCTGAATATGTTGCTCCATCTGTCAAAACCGTTGGAACCTCAAAAGATTGCTGATAGATAGAAACCCAAAACAAAAGCAGCTCCACTTCAATGGCCCACACCACTGGGTTTGGATGGCCTGCACTTCGGCCGTATCCTCTTCGCTGGGCACCTCCTCCAAGGCGGCCTGCCAGAGTCTTGGAATGGTTCTCGCTGGCATGCTCCGTGGGTCAATTCCCTCTAGACCTCCTGGTTCGAGCACAACTTGTGGATTGTGACTACGTCAGCCTGCAACTCGCTGTTGGGACGACCAATTCCTTGTGTCTGATTCCTACCGGTCACAACCAGTTTGGGGCATTATTATTGGAGGACATGGCTACTAAGTTGGAGGACTGGTTGGAGGCCATTGCTACCGGGGTGGAGGTCATCACTCTTAGGTTGGAGACCATCGCTAGTAGGTTGGAGGCCGGCCATCGCCCATCGCTTTTTACGTTGGAGGCCATTGCTACTAGGGTGGAGGCCATCGTCAGTAGGTTGGAGCCAATCTCTACTAGGGTGGAGGCCATTCGAGTTGTGGAGCATCGAGTTTCAGCAGCTCCTCGTCGGGTGCCGCCGGGACCTCCAGATCACTCACGACCACCTGCCGCGCGGAATAAGCCGCAGAGATGGCAGGGACCCGAAGCAACGGTCCTTGCTTGAGTGAACTAGCTCCTTGCTCCTAGTAGTCTAGTAGTAAGGCCAGGAGCTACTAGTAGCGTCCGTGTTCCTAGTAGCGATGCCCTTGGTTACGAGTAGCTTCTTGTTCCTAGTAGTATGGCCAGGAGCTACTAGTAGCATCCTTGCTCCTTTAAAGAAACCTCTCTTGCAATGAAGATCCATGAAGTCAGATTCAAGTCTGGGTCTTTATCACTCACTGCATAAGGAAAATGAAGGACCCTCTCACTGGAAAGATCATGATTTCAGAGGGCTCCATTTTGACCCACCAACCCAACTGAAACAATAATAACAAACCAATTAACACGGTTGGCGTGTTGCATGAGATGACGAGGATCGAGCAAGTGGATCGTCTTCCCCCTGGAAGAAACAAGATAGACTAAAACCCATTGGTTACGGCCCCCCCCCATTTTGAAACACACGCCTTCTTTCTTAATCCACTTTGGATTCTACCAAGTACACTTTCTGAACACCAGTTTGTACCGGGTTTGATGTACAGTGCTTACAGTAGACCGCAATTCACTACTACCAGGTCAGCAAACCACGGGAACGACGATCATGGGGGATGCACAAACTCAACCGTTCCCAAACCGATGTGCCTCTCCGCCAGCCGCTTGCGCCAACTCACTGCCAGTGGATAAGGCTTGCAGGTTGTTGGAGACCTGTGTTCACGCACAGCGTGCGGTGGAGCTCGCTGTGGCAAAGGGTGGTGTGGTGATCATCTAGACTACACGATCTGCATGGTCTGCTCGCAGCTGCAGCGCGCGCGTGTCATTCAAACCTCAGGAAGAACTTCCAGCAATCTGGGCAGTGATGTTCAGCCACCTACAACCTCGTCAACTGGTTGAACTTCTATCCGAGAAAACCACAAAGCATGGATGAAGCCAGCTTCACTGTCCCCGTGGTGCGCCAACGTGCCCCATACCACATCACCTGCTCTTTTGCTCAATGCGTTCGCGCACACGCGCACACACACACGCACCTCTTCTCCAGCCCAACACAAATCGTCCCCTTGACCGTCTCGTTCTTGCTGGAGGGCGGGCGCAAAAGCAGCCCGGTCAGCGGGCGTCTGAGAACAATGCCGCCGGTCCACGCCGCCGTGGGCGGCCAGAAAAGGTAAACAATTGAAGTGAAGGAGCTGCAGGCTGTCGTGGATGCCCAAAGCCATAGGCCACTTGGGCTGCGATGTAGACCGAGTCGGCACATGAATCGGCGCATGTGTTCAGACGGGTAGCATCCCTCCCCGAATCCCCCGATGCGTCAGTTCTGCGTGGCCTTGGCGCTCTACAGCCCTAGAATGTGTTGCCTTTGAAATGTCTTTCATGGGCTTTTGCAGTTGAGGCCTGAAAGAGAGGTGCAGTGTTGTGGAAAGTCTTTCAACTCCAGCTTGTTTTGGTGTCCTTTTTGCCTTCTAACGACCCAGAAAAAAGAACACGGCCAAAGGGGGACCAAAGTGCCAACGACATTACTTTTGGGTCTTGGCCTTTCTGAAGCGCGAGGATAAGGCACTCGAAGTGCCAACGCAAAAGGTCCCGGTCGCTGTGCCAACTGCGTTGCTGCGTCTCTTGACCGAGACCGACGCATGCTGCGTCTCCTTTCCCTAGCGCGTGTCCAGGCTGTCATGGAAATACAAGTCCAGCCAAATGGCCGTCGATGATGATGGTTGGGCAGTTCGTTTGAGGAAAACCCTTCGCAAAGTGCTTTCTGAAAAAAGAAAGTACTGAAAATATGTTTGCATCTTTTAGAGTTCATCACAGTCCATCTGCTTGCCTTCACAAAACTCTCAGTTCAAATGCCGTCAAGAAAAGGCACAAAGAAACACCGACCAAGTAAGGGCGTTGAGCTGCGAATTGAACCCCGCCCCGAAACGTTTGTGAGGACGTGTGCCCAGTAACCAGGGAAGTCTCCAGGACACCTCCGGAAAAAGCCTGGCCTCACCCAGTTCGGACGCTTGGGCATTCAAGGCATCGGTGCCTGCGTGTTTTTCGATCGCATCTGCGCAGGCACAAATGGATGACTGGGGATGAATCTATGATAATCTATGAATCATAGCAGGAATGGCGATGTTCAAGAAGATCTTGATCTTCAGGGTTCCAAGATCTTCCAAGTGCTTTCAACACTCAACACTGCAATGTAAATCGTGTCCATACACTTTAAACCTCTTTGACATCATAACACGTGCTTTCCTGGTGGAGAAATGATCGCCCTTGGCACGTTGTGAACCAACTGCCCCTCTTGAGATATCCGGCAATTCACTAAAGATACTGATGGCAGTCTTGGGGCACTGCATTTAGCTGAGATCCATGATCATTCCATGATCCAGTTGGTGAATGAGTCGACCCAAAAGGCCACTGAGTCCCGTCCATCCGCAGCTCTGAGCTTCCGAGGCCGCCCGGTGCTGCGGCCGCCCGCCTGAACTGGATGAGTCGCCACCCGTGGCAGCTGCTGCCTGTGAGAACGGACGCAAACCGAGCCCCCCCAGCGATCGACAGAGCCCTACTAGGTTGGAGGCCATCTCTTCTAGTAACAAGAAGTTTTTGAATATGTCTTTGAAGCTTCTTAGTCACAATAGAGCTACTAGGTTGGAGGCCATTGCTAGTCGTTGGAGGCCATCGCTACTGGTCACAAAGGCATTACTACTAGTATCTACTAGTAACAAGAAGCTACGAACGTAGCTAAGGGCCTGCAGCGATCTACACAGCTCACTCACCTCACGGACTGCTGCAGCAACTCTGCTAGGCCAGGTCTATTTCACCATATGTTCTTCCCGTTAGGGCCTCTCTTGCTTAATGTTGGACCAAAACCCTTGGTCAAACCGTTCAGATACCTCGTCCTTCCCTCCACCCTGTCACTGAATCATAGCCACGCCCACCCACGCCCGACGTCAAGACCGCCGTCGACTAGGCCATCGCTATGTAAGTACTATATGAAGATCATTAAAGATCCGATCCAGCCCAGCCCACACCCCTTTTTTTCCTTTGTCACTGAATGATCGAAAACGCCCACCCAGGAAGCCCGAGCCGACAACACTGTCCAGCCGATCTGATCTCCCGCTCGCCGCGTCGGCTGAAGGTTCGATGCTGATGTCCAGTGCCGTCTGGTCCACCGTGGCCAAGCGACGGCCTGCCCCGCTCGGTTCGTCGAAAGTGCCAACCTGGATTTTGGGGGGTTGGATTGATCTTGAAGCCGACGTGCTCTTTAAACAATTTGTGTCAAAACCTGTGGCAAAACACCAAGAAATGGGAACAAGTGGCTAGGTCAAATCAGGGTGTTCATCCTAAACAAAGCTCGGATCTCCTTGTTTTTCCATACGGAAACATGAGGTTTGGACGCCGCCAACCAGTCTTACCCACGATACAAACTTGGCACATCTTGGCACACCACAGGCCGCTACCAGTGCGTCGCTACTAGAGTAGCAGGTGCATCGCTACTGGTAACAGGGGCATCGCTACTAGTAACAAGGGCATTACTATACTAGTAGCTATAGAAGCTATATACTAGTAGCGATGCACCTGCCGAATGCAAATGATCCCCCATGAATGCCAAGCTGCAGGTTGGCAACTCTGAAGAATGGGAAACACCCACTCAAAAATATCCCTACCTTTCACTGTCTTCTCTTTTTCCAACTACAGAACCTCCGGGTGCTTCTCTCCCACCTCGCTGACAGTGATCCTCAAAGCATGACCTCGGCCAATCGCCGGAACGAAGAGAGCTTTGAGAGAACTGGAGGGCGCAAGGATGAACAATTTCAAAAGCAAAACACAAAAGCACATCCGTTGGTTTTCAAGAGCCTCCCTGAGTTTCCAGTTTGGAGCCGAAGGAAACAAATCCTCCGAAAAAAGACAGGAAACTCCTCTGTACCCAACCTCTAACAAGTTGTGAAGGGCTATTCTCCATCAGTACAGGTAAGTCATGTGCCTGATATGCCTGATGCATTCTTTGGACATGGAGCCAATGACCAAGCATTTTGGCCAACACTTCGGCTACTTTGAGATGTGATACAAGCACCTTTCTGCAATTGAACACCGCAACACATTGATTCATGAACTGTCCTCGTCCTCTTGACCTCTATCGGGAAGATTCAGCAATAGCTGTCGCTCTTAGGTTGGAGGCCATCGCTAGTGTGGTCTCATTTTACTCTCGCTGAAGTGAGATCGCTCTTGGTCATCCCCATTCGCGATGGGTCCAAACAAGAGCCATAAAATCAGAGTTGACACCCCCCTCTGCAATGAACACGTACCAATGTGACCACTTTCCATGCGCCGGTGAAAAAAAGAAACCGATCGCCTCTGCCTGCATCCGAGTGGCAGCTCTGCGTCTTCTGTCATCTCCACCAGCTTCAAACGACGACGAGCCTGGACAGAGGCCACCTGGGCGCTTCGCCAGATTGGGGCGTGAGCGGCTTCGGCGGTTCTCCATAGTGAACCATTGACTGATCTATTAAGACCTGCAGCATTTTCCATCCAAGTCGGAGGCCATCTATATTCGGTTGGAGGCCATCGCTATGACGTTGTGTTAACCTTTCCAGCCCCTGTCGCAACTCTTCCTCAGGATCAAACCCCCCTTCACCTCGCTCCTTTCATCCCATCCCCCCCATCCCGGTTTTGACGGCCCAGTGGCAATGATCCGCTCCGGAGGGATGCCCAGCAGAATGGCCAAGTTCGTCTGGAAGGTCGGCCCGTTGAACTCTTCGATGGAGATCCTGGCCGCGGTTCGGCGTCGCGTCGCGTCTTCCGTCGTCGACCTGCATGTGCGGTGAGACAACGCAGAGACGACGCAGGGGTGGAGAAATGTGGGAGAGTTGAGTACAAAGCTGAGCTAGAATGGACCTGAGTCATGAGTTGTCACAGAACTGAGGAATAGCAACAAAGTTGGATCGTTGGAGACTTGAATGCAAGCTGACTTACAGTAACCCATGTGGTTTGTCTCCTTCATTCAAGCTAAACCCTCAACCCCCAGCAAAGAGGATCTGGTTACTGTCAGACTTGTCAAAAGGCCAAAAACACTTGAACACTATAGTGTTAAAGTTCTTCCGCTGGAAAAGAGTTCGACCCAAGTCAAGAACTTCATGCCAGGATTTTGCCAAGCAGCTCGATGTTCATCTTCAACTTCACCGTCGGCGTGCGCCGGATGGTGAGGTCCTGTCGGGCCTCACGATTTCGGCGAAGGAGCAATGCGCCCAGAGCGCTGGTGTTCTTGACATGTCAAGAAACATATGCCAACATATTGCTAAACAATGGGTGGCAATTGGAGGCCATCGCTACTAGTGGCAAGAAGCTACGAACGTAGCGTTCAGACCGCTCTTGGGTGGCAAACCTTCAGCTCTCCAAGCTGGGCGCCCCATGGCCGCCATGGGGCCGCTACTCGAAAGCACTGGGCTTCCCACATCGAATCCGGCTTGTGAGCCCCGCATGGTCACGTACAAGCCTTGGAGTAACAAGAAGCTACTAGGTGGAGGCCAAGGCTATTAGGAGCAAGGATGCTACTATAGGGGCTCCTGGCCTTACTACTAGGAACAAGGCCGCTACTAGGAACAAAGAGCATCGCTACTAGGAGCAAGGACGCTACTAGGTTGGAGGCCATTGCTATTAGGAGCAAGAATTCTTGGACTCTGACCCAGACCTGATCCGTGTCTGACGGAAGAGAAAGGGGATCGAAAGGAAGGCGTTCGAAGAAAGGCGTGGCAGGCGCGGCATAGCGGACGTCCTGTTGCTTGGACCGGTTTTCTTGAAGAGATCAACAAAAGTCATGGTTGCTCAGCACCGGATCTTTTATCGATTTTAGATTCAATCTCCAAGTAGTGGCTTGGACCCGCGACCTTCCCAAAGTGTGACCAACTTGGCATCCACCCGATCTTGAATCCATGCTGAGCCTCACGCCATTCAAACGGGGGCCGTTGCCGGTGTCGGACGTCTGGGGCATCCCACGCAGCGCTTGAGCATCCACCACATGGGCTCCATGCCTGAACGGCGAAGCATCGGGAAGCCAACAGGCAAAGCTGCAGTTGTTCCTAGTAGCTTCTTGTTACTAATAGCTTCTTGTTACTACTAGTAAGGCACTTGTTACTAGTAGCGATGCACTTGTTCCTAGTAGCTTCTTGTTGTTCAACCAGCCTTCTTGGCCATACTTCCTGTCATCAAGCTCTGGGGGGGTATTCAGTGAGATAACATTGATCTGAATAGACGTACTCGTGGTCCAGTGAAAGCACCTCATGTGGATCAAAATGGGATCGAAAGGAACTAAGCTTCTACCAGATCATAATGGTTTTGCAGCAGACCTCCCAATCTTTTTTGAAGGGGCGTGGAAACAGCCGCACAATTCGCTATAGCTGTACAAGATGTGTTTCTCTTCGACAGGTTACCAGCGCATTAAGAAAGGGCAACATGTTTGATGGCATATGATATCATACGATGTGGCATGTAGCAGGGAGTTCCAGACTGGATCCATCTTTTGATCCATCGGGAAACGACAAAAAATAACGTCCCAACTTGGGGTGCCCGGACTCGTCGTCTAGTGTGGGCTTGCGGCCCTGGCAGATCGTGCGGTCTTGGATGAAACAAGAGCGAACCAAAAACGCTTAGGGTAACGCTCGAGATTGAAACCTTGTAATGATTGAATGGATTTGAAATGATTTGTATATATATTTGAATATATTTGAATGGTATATTAACTAATTATTTTATATAACTGTTATTAGACCTGGCAACGTGAAATCTTTGGGAGAAGAGACTTCCCTCTTGGCACGCTTGGGGTAACAAACACCGACTCAGTCTCAGTCGCCTTCGAAATTCCACCGCTCTCTTGTGCCCCCGGTGCTTGCTTCGGCAGCTTCAGGCCCGCACCAGCTTCAGGGCCATATCAGGCTTCTTGGCGTTGCCCACGAAGACGTTCACACCACGTGAGTCCGGATAGAAGATTTCCAGCAGCACAGACTCAGAGCGTCCGGACGGACGATCGGGGGGCATTGGTCAGTCGCGGCTCCTGGAATGAGAATGCGCGGATATGGCATTGCTTAGAGAATTGGACACTCAAACTGTCGAAGAACAGAAAAAGATTGGGATCATGCGAAAGTGGCGTTCATGACTTTCGGTCGTAGAAACTCCATGGAGTTCGGCGTGTTTTTGGTCTTCCCAGTCCTTCCGTTCGTGACCGTCCTGTTTCGATCCGCTGTTTTCGGTCACTGAAGAGGTCGGTGTCGGTCGACGTACTTTCCGGTCACTTACCAATCCAGTGACTCCAAAGGGGTCCATCTCAAGTCACCTGGTCCTTGGATCCTTGGACCTCTCATCCTTGGACATTCCGGCCCCGACCTCTGTGGTTTGCGTGTTCCAGTAGCGGAGCCTTGGCCCAAAACGCGATGGATCCCGGAATATAAAGATCATGTTGTGTAGGACATCTGGTCGACATACCCATGTCCAAAGGTGTTTGTGGTGCGGCATCTTGACTGAAGCAACCCTGTTCTATTGTGAAGCAGAGTCACATGTGATGTGTGCACACATGTAATTCGTTGGTTGTGCATGACAGGTCCACTTCGGGATTTGTGTTATCTCATCGACGCATGAGCAATACTGTGACTCTGATGATTTCATCACTGCTTTCTCAACAGTTCCTCTCAGGCTTCAGACTTGAAATTTTCCGGCAAGGACAAGACCTCCATGTAGTAGGTCGTATCCTGTGTGTAGCAGGCAAGTCTCTAGAAAATGAGTTTCATTTGGGCTTGGAGGGTGAAGAAAGGTTTTTCAGGAGAGAAGCTAGCAGCTAGGAAGCTGATTGGTTTCTTACCCACTCCAAATAGGGGCTATCATGTTTCTTCCATGCAGTATCATGCTGCAGGGTCATGAGCCCTGCATGTTTGGAAAAACCATATCCATTGAGACATACCGATGAGATATAAACCATCCACCGATGAGTAACACCGGTCCCATGGAAACGCCGTTTTGACGGCGCGCCCTTCAGGTTCGCGCGGGTTGGATGAGCACATGGTAGAAGGAGAAGTCCCAACCTCGGGTGGAATCTGACACGAGGACTTGCTTGAAAAGGAATGGCTGAGAATAGCAGACATGGATCACTTGGCCAAACTGGTCACCAAAACGAGCGCGGAATCACATCGTTAAATGATTCCCCCAGACCAGCTGGTGTCGATTGGTGTCGGTGGATTGTCTTATTGACAAGGTCCTAGTAGCTTCTTGTTACTAGTAGCGATGCCCTTTGCTCTCGTAGCATCCTTGCTCCGTTCGGTTCGTAAGGCCAGTTTCGCCCCTACCTCGTAGCGTCCTCTTGTTCCTAATGGTCTCTTCGTTCGCGTTCACCAGCTGATCTTGGAGTCTTCCTCTCGCCGTCTCGGGTCTCCGTGCCACATGGGCAGCTCGCATAGAAGGGCCCAACGCCTGAAGAACGAGGAGACTGCATCATGCCCAGAGTTTTGTGTCACCAGTCGGAGGATAGGGAAACGTCTCAACCAGCTGTGTAGCTTCAACATGCTTCAACTAGGAAATTCCCTTGAGCTGGCTGTCTCAACCAGAGTAGTCCTTTCTGCCCTTCTAGGTGCTGAATAGTCTGGCAAAAAGTTAAGGTTTGAACTTCATAGAGGGCAAATGTGTGTAAAGCTTCAACCATTGCACCCTGCATCCAAAATGGGATCACATCGCATCCTTTGCAAGAAAACCACCCAAAACAAAAGGTCTCATCAAAACCGCTATGCCTAGACTAGGCCACCAAAGAAGCTCTGTGGTGAAAGCGCTTCCGAAACCGTCCCGGCCACCGCGACTCACGCGGCCCGGGACTCCCGGGACTCCCGGCTACTCAAGACACCGCCCTCAAAGCCGTTGTCTTCCTCCTCATCGGGCGTGAGGACCTGCACCGCCGGCCACCGGTCGCACGAGGCGGTGGTTGTTGTTGGACGCATCGTTAACATCCTGTGGCATCTACCAAGCATATGGCTACGAACGGAACAAGTGCATCGCTAGTAGTAACAAGTGCCTTACTAGTAGTAACCATGTTTGCTAGTAGAAACAATAAGCATATATGCTTCTTGTTACTAGTAGCGTCCTTGCTCCTATAGGTCCTAGTAGCGATGCCAGGAGCCCCGTTCGTAGCTTCTTGTATATAGATGCAGAGTCCAGTTGACTATACAGGCCGGTTCCGGCATGCCAAATGCCTACAACCCCATGTTGTGCTTGTGTCACATTTCACCATCGCATATGTCACATCGCAAGTTTATCCCAAGCTGTGGTGCTTTTGACACACCAGGTTCGGAATTCACTGTTCTGTTTCCACCGTTGACCGGTTTTTCTTCACCCAGTCCAAACCGCTCAATCAGGCCTTCCGACCTCCGACTCGTTCGACGGATGTTCCGCTGGGGCCAACACCAAAGGACCAAACTTCACGTCCTTTGCCCCGCCTCGGACCGGTCAGCGCTGGACCAAACCCGACCAAAGGGGTCCTCCCGAATCCCACCCAAGAACTGCTTGGTTTGACCAAGCCAACCGAAGTTCGCAGCTTGGAACTTCCCCCATGTATATTGTGTTAGCCGTATAACCAATCAACTCGCCGCCAGGGTGAACGCGACCCCCGGAATTGATTCCTTGAAGTAGATTCATTACATCACACATCACCACATCATGACAGTCAATGAGGTCTTCACCAAAACAAGTGACAAGCTTCTACTGACTGTTACAGCAATGAGTAGGACGGCAACCTCTGTCTCCAAAGCCATGAGCGCTCCTAAAGCTCAATCTATTCTTGCCAGTGGTTGGTCATGGAGCCTTCCGCGAAACACCCAAAAATGGTTAGGGAGGAGGTGTTTCCAGGAATGGCGCTGAGTCTAAACCCTGACTGGGAACACCTCCGATGCATTCTCCGGATTCAGCGACACCCCCCTGCAGGCACTGCATTCATTGAAGGCAAATCGATGATCCACACAAAACACATCAAAAAAACAATAGAGTCTGAATAGGGCGACAAACAATCGGTCAGAAGTTCAGACCCATTAAAAAGCCAAGCCCATTCCATCTTTCCAGCACAGTGAAAACCCCCTTGCATCGGCCGATTCACGATCGATGTTCTTCATCTCCAGTAGATCCACAGAGATGTTGGGACACACCTGACAAGGAACAAGACGCTAGTAGAAACAATAAGCTACTAGGAACAAGTGCATCGCTACTAGTATCAAGTGCCTTACTAGTAGTAACAAGAAGCTTACTAAAAATTTTAATTTAACTAAAATTAGTAGTAAAGTAGGAGGCTACTAGGACCTTTTCACGTGCCCGTCTGGACCGTGGTCGCTGGACGCGCGAGTCCAAACGGTGCCCAAAGGGAACTGGACCAAACGGTGTGAGAACCTGGTGTACCAACGGTATCCAACGGTGGTATGTTTTCGCCGGGGCAGCCAGGTTCATGGACTATGGAAGGCACTGGAGACGTCAAATTCATTACGATTTATGCACCCACCGAAGTTTCGTATTCAATTGAGCACCACCAGGGTCTGCAGACTAGGGCAACAAGCTGCTCTGGACAATGTCTCAAGGAGCAACGAAAGCATACTCACAACAGGGTGGCCCTACACACGATCCCAAGCCCTCCTCAAAAGAGCACACAGTTGTACGTTGTACTCCCACTCTTCCAAAGAAGAAGCAAAGTAAGTACTCCATGTTTGTTTGCCCTTAATGGTCCTGTATCTTGTGGTGAATCTGCCTCTGTTCAGGATCAGTCTCACTGCCCTCGTCGCCTGTGCGCCAATGGTGGTGTCATGGAGGCTGTTGTTGCACATCGAAGCCCACCTGATCGAACCGCAACCCGCGGCCCGGGCTCCGGAAGGGGAACTCGGAACCCAGTTCCGGTGCTTGTAGTAAGAAGCTATTAGGAACAAGTGCATCGCTACTAGTAACAAGTGCCTTACTAGTAGTAACAAGAAGCTATAGTAGAAACAATAAGCTAATAGCTTCTTGTTACTACTAGTAAGGCACTTGTTACTAGTAGCGATGCACTTGTTACTAATAGCTTCTTGCTCCGTTCGTAGTAAGGCCAGTATCGCCCCTACCTCGTAGCGTCCGACCGCTCCTAGTAAGGCCGTTGAAGCGAAGCAGGAAACCGGAATGGTGTTGGGTTCAACTCGTCGGACGGAACGGAGCACTGGTTGTTCCTCGGTCATGTGACACCCTGTGAGTCAGTGATTCTTCGACAAGGGCAGCAGCGCTGACATCCACATAACATCCACGAAACGCTTCCAGGTGATGGTCGCTCCCAGGCTGGTGACGGTCGTCGGCGAAATCGTCGCTCCCGGCCACAATGACTTCACGAACGAGACCTGAATTTACTGCACTAAATATCAGTTAGAACCTTGGTTGCAAACAGGCGACTTCTTGGAGGGACTTTGTGTGCCTAACGCGAGGAAGTTCGAGGCAATCACAGGTGCTGCCCTTAGATTGGTGCTCAACTAGGCTAGGCCCGCAGGCGGCCTGCGGTGGTTGGAGGCCCGAACACTTCACGCCAAGCCACACGATATCCGTGCGGGGTGTGTAGGGCAGGATGCTGGCATGCTCAGCACCCATTCCTCTACAAGACGCGAGATGTGGAGCCACTGAGGGCAGGTCAACATCCGAACTCGCGATTGGGATGCTCCAAGTGAAACAGCATGGCGCACCAAATCACTCTCGGAGAATGGTAGCATCTCTTTAAATGGAGCCTGTCGTCCAAGAGAGCCCGTGGTCGGCTCAGCTAAGTGGATAGCATTTCATTAAACACTTCCTTTGCTCCTAGTAGCGTTCTTGTTCCTAGTAGTAAGGCCAGGAGCGCCCCTAATAGCATCCTTGCTCCCATAGCGATGCCTTCTTGTTCCTGCAATTCGTTAGACACTTCCTTGTTTGCTGTACTTTGACCAAACATCACACCTGACTTCGCCGCTCCCAACGAAGCGGTCTCAGATCGGCGGTCGAGCGTCGCGAGCGGCACCCGTCCTGTCAAAGTGCCATCGGTATCTTGGATCAGCATCTGATCCAAGCCTCACGAGAGCCACGAGCGAAGGAGGCTATCACTCAGTGGCTAGCGCACTTAGGCTGGAGGCCATCGATGATAGTAGGTTGGAGGCCATCGCTATTAATCATAGTGCTTGGATGCTGACCTGGCTGCTGACAGTATTTTCTGAACCCTTCACTAGAAAGCGTATGAATTGTATGAACTCCAACTAAAGGGAAATGACATGAAATGACTCATGCTTCTGGTGGCAGAGCTTGCAGGCACAAAGAGCTAAGAACTAGTTCGCAGCTCATATTGTCTTCCCATTCGCCCATTACAGTCAAACACAGCCAACTACTTGAGGACCTGGCGGATCACCAATTGATAAACACATATGGGTTGCGGGTCAAAACCGGGATACCACCTTGATTAACCTAGGAACTCCGTCCTCGTTTTGACCCGATACGCGAGCACCTCCGTCTCGACGGCCGGTCGGTCTCCCGGACCCATGCAGCCACCGCCGGTGCTCTTACATGGACTGGCACGGCCGGCATACGCCTCAGCCGATCGCGATCGTGTTCAAAAGGCCCACCGAGCAGCGTCCGGTCAGTGCGAAGTCGAGGAGTGAGATCATGGAGATTGGGACTTCGACTTCGTTCGTTAAGGATTGTTGTTCAGCTAATCGGCATGGATGTAGGGGGGTCCAAAGCCATGTCTCCAGACGTTTCAACATGGCTTTGGTCGTGGACCGCAATTCCCGCAAGTCCAGTGCCCACACATGATGTTTCGGCCAAGGTGACAATGTGAGGTGTCATGGACCGCTGAGTACAAAGTAACATCCCACTGGTTGAGAGGTCGCGACAACACCTGGAGGAAAGACTATAGCATTTATGGTCTTCTGACTTAAGAGGGGTCTCTGTTCCAATCACACAGAGCAAGCTGTCAGGTGTTCTTCGGTGCAGGCACAAGGGTTTTTGAGGCGAACGTTCAGAGAAGTCAACATCGAAAGCTGTAGAAACTGCTACGAAAAACATCCAAACAAAGACAATGCTTGGCTGTTTCCATAAGGTTTGCTGAGCGACAGGGTATCCCTTCCGGACTGCACTGCTTTCCTCGCCCAGGAGCTGAATCCAATCGTTCGGTGCTCAACTCAAAGCGCGCGTCAGGGTCGGACTGGCACGTGAGCTCATCACGTCGACGAAAGCACGTGGACTGCAGCTGAGCTGGGACACGTCGACAGAACTGCTCAGTGTCTGGGACACTTTCGTAGCAGCCTCCAACCTACTAGAGATGGTCTCCACCCTAGTAGCGATGGACACCACCTGATGGCGTTCACGGACACTTTCATCGATGAGTGTCAGTTTTAAGCCAGTTGATCAGTGCTGGTAGAATCGAAACATTGTCACCAAAAATGCTGGTTAAGTGAAGGGTTTTGCACCTATAAAGGACTGCGATGACCAACATATGTGTTCATTTGATTTGATGTGTCTTGGAACTGCCCTCCAAAATAAAGTTCCCAATGGGTGTTTCTGGCAAGAACTTAAACAATTGACACTAACCGTCACTAACCCACATGATATACACACATTGAAAAACAAAGACCAACCAAAATCCAAAGAAGGTGAAAGAACTAAACTACCACCGTCAGCAGTTGCTGTTGGGGCAACTCTGGATTTTCACCCCCTTTTGAAGTACAAGCTGGATCAAACAACTTAAGCAACCAGCTCTGTCTGTGGGCACCAGGACACCGACCAGTCGACCAACGACGTTCGGGGGACGTGGGTCACGGCCCGAGGGTGGAGCGGACGGGGCCGGAGCGCCCCGTTCGTAGCGTCCTTGCTCCTAGCATGTATCGTGTACGTTCATGGCTTAGGCCATTCATCCGGCCGAAGCTGCGAGTGAAGGTGGCACCTGGTACCATGTGGTGCGAGTGAAGGTTGCTGGGAAGCTCACCTGCGTCGCGCCGGTCGTCACAGATGGTCAGGTAGTCGGTGGTTTTGGGGGGGCAATGTGGAATGGAAGATGGTCAAAGCAGCGCCACCTATTTCGGAGATTGTAGCCTCGTTTATGCTCATGATCCTTAAATGATGCAGAAGAAAGGCCAACTACGTCCCAAAGATTGACCGAACGACGTCCCTCTCGCCCTTGGGCCAATCATCCCCATGTCAAAAGAAATGTATATAAATGTATCTCTAACAAAACGTCAGGATCATATTTTACATCCTCAACAGCAAGTGCTCCAGGTGGGATGTAATCCTTTTTCCCAACTTCACCTCGGCGGCCCACATATTCACCGAGATCGCGCTGGACCTGGGAGCGCGCAGAGAGAGTGGCAAAAGAGGAGAACACAGAGGAGCAGGATGAGGGAGCGAGGCTGAAGAAAGCAAGCATATATTGTATATACAGTGATTTCAGAGTAAATGCCACAATCCCCAAAAGGTGGTGTATAGGAATCCCCATAATTATAAAAGAATCCGTGGGTTTGTGCCATCTAATCTACTCCAGAAAGCACTGTATGCTATATACATGTATTTGTTTATTATATCATATATTTATATAATAGGTATACTCACAGAGCCCTATAGAGGAGGGGCAGCAGGAATGATCTCATGACATAAAGGATGATCCTTTTGCACAAGCCAAAGTATGCAAAGGATGATCCTTGATGATCTCGCTGTCTCGCTGTCTGTTTCTTGCAATGCTTTCTCGATCAAACGGCGAAAGGATCTGTCAAAATTCACCTGTTGCCAAGGTGTACACTGTAGTAGAGTCGGTAATGAGAATTCAAACATGTGCCTTGTGAGGAGTGTGGTGCACTTAGTGCTCACAGGCAGCTCAGGCCAATGACCCTGAAGCCAGCGCGGAGGAGCAATGCTTCCAGTATACTTGGCCCAAAGACACCAAGAAATGAAACAACTAGGACGCCTATGCCGAGAATTAATGCCACTTGGGAGGTCGTCATGATAAATTCCGTGTCATCGCTCACTCTCACCATCTTGAAATGTCTCTTCTCTTCCAAGAGTTCTTTGGCTTCGTAGATATCGTCTCGAACCTGGTCCACGTCAGAGTCAGGACCGCAGCCCAACCTATCCCATCGATCGAGATCCTTTTCTAAAGCTGGTATCTTTTGGTCCAACTCTTTCGCATGGCCCTGGTCTGTTTTGTCGTACTTCTTGAGATTCTTGAGGTCCTTTTCCAAGTTGGCCCTCCTTGTCATGATTGACTCCTTCACATCCTTGCACGACACAGACGTCCCGCCACCACGAGCATGCAAAACCACATGAGGTGACAGCCTTCGCTGACTCCGTGCACTTGTCGGCATGCTCGGCATGGTCGGCTGCAGAACAAAATCGCAGGGGAAGCGGATCAAAAGAAGCTCGCAACACATCCCGACTAACACAAGAGTAGTAGCAGTGCGCCCGGTCTTGCCATGGCAACGCTCGAATCCCTGCATCGCGTACAAACAAGTTCACCTCACACTCACTGAGTGGAAAAGCTGGAGCTGCAACAAAAGGAATTCATCAAAAATACCTTCCACCCACTGGTTTGACTATAAGCAACATCACCATGGTTTGACCGCACCAAATGAAATGCAACCCAACACCCTGATAATTGTTTGATCAATTGATCCCAACAAACAATGGTGTGCACTCTTTGGGAAAGACTGCCCCAGCAGTCGGCCCCAGCAGTCAGACTTCCGCGCAAAAAGCCTCATGGCTTTTCTATGGCAAAGAGCTCATTCCATGGTCTCCAGTCAAGGAAGAAACCACGTTCTCCAGGTGCCATCGCTACTAGGTTGGAGGCTCTCGCTTCTAGGAGGCCATCGCTACTAGGTTGGAGGCCATCGGCATTCTCTGAGGTCCCTTTGCTACTCCGAGACTGATTAGGGATGCTGCGAGAGGCCGCAATCGGAGCTCTTCCAGTACGCAAAGGTGGTGTCCGTGAAGAAGGTCCAGCCTCCAGTTCTTTCGGCGGCGAAAACCCAGTGATCGAGGTTTGCTTGGTCTCCCGTCTCAAGGTGTTTTGGTCTCCAGCCTGGGAAGACATGGGAGATTAGATGAGGTAGGTATCATGAGAATTAGGTGATCGAAAGTTTCTGACATGCATGCGACTGAAGACTTGATGGTCGGATTTCACGATAGAGATCGATCGGATTTCACTGCACCACTCGTCTTCTCTCTCTTGCTACTCCTTTTTGTTCTTCTTGGAAGGTTCAGCAAAGGCTCAGACCATGTTGAAGGGTCCAGCTTCCGACAATTGAAGGTTGAAGAAACTCGGCATTTGCTTAAGGACCCCCTCCTGGATCGAGGGTCGAGCTACATGGTGGACCAGGTTTTGAATGGTTTTGATTGCTATTTTGGATGATCAAACACGGCCTGCAGTGTGTGAGCCCTGAGCTCTCGACCCAAGCCCTTCTGCATGTGGATGTCCTGCCAGTTCCCCACACTCATCAAGTGCGTGGTCTTTATCCCAGATTCACCTTGTAGTTCAAGTCTATTCTTAGCGGGAAGTCATCGCCTTTAGGTTGGAGTTCAAGTTTACTAAGTTTACTTAAAATGATAATTATTGATAATTGTTTTTTGGATTCATCCAGTCTGATCAAGGGATTCATGGACGGTTGGTTATCAGCACTGATGGCTTTAGAACAGGTCTTCCATGGTCTTCCCCTTTGCAAAGGAAAATGGTTGACCTGACCTGCTTCCGCACGACAGGAAACGAGCATGCTTTTGGGTCACAGTGGACCACCTTCCGGTGGAGGCCTCCGGGCTCCAAGCACCCGCAGCCTCCAGGTGCACCTTGAGTGGAAAAATGCTGAAAGGTCAGGGCTGAGCTGCAGCATGCTGCAGCGCTGCAACCACTTCCTTGTGATGCTCCCGAGTGACCAATCGCTGGGTTTCTCTTCAGCGTCCCACCGAAGCTGTCCCAGCGGAGAAGCGACGCGCGAAAGTGTCCGAAGCGACGCCAAGGCGTGTTCAAAGCTGCTTCGCTGGGCTCGGATCCCAGCAAGCAGGGTTCAGGGCGTCCACATGGCTGTGTATGAAAATAGGGAGACCTCCCCCAGTTGCGCAGAGTGTTTCTCACCTAATAAGGATGGCCTCCAACCTACTACCCAGTAGTAGGGGATGGCCTCCATAGTCCGATGAAATTCTGAGCCCCGTAGCTTCGCACAAACTGCAAAAGGCAGCTACTAGTAGCTCCTGGCCTTACTACTAGAAGCAAGAAGCTACTAGGCCATGCGCAAGGCCCACGCTGAGGCCCGTTAAGAGACCCGACGGTGGCATGCAGAGCACACAACTCCGTCCACAAAGAGCCCCCAGCCAACAGGGCACCATGCGGACCTAGCGTCATAGATGTACACACAGAGACAAACACTTGGAGCACTCTGCAGCATTGCAGAGCTCGCAAAGCTCGCAGACCAACCACCATTGTGAACCGCCTCCAGTGTCACACGCGAGGCTTATTGCGGCGGCTCAACGATGCTTCCGCGCGTGTCTGCCTCTGCATCTGGGTTGAACGTCGCTAGTAGGTTGGAGGCCATTACTACTAGTAGCAAGAAGCTACTAGTAACAAAGGCTTCTTAGGTGGGAGGCATCACTTCAGTCCTTCTCATAGGGCTGGTGACAATCATTGAGCTTCGGCTGCCTGCGGGATGTCACAGAGTGGGGGGCTCAGTGGGCAGCAACTGTGGAGTGTCCGATCTTTCCGCAGGTTTTCTTGAAATCTCCTTGTCAATCAGCTACTGATCAGTTCTGAGGACCATCTGGCCAGCTGTAAATCAGTGTCGACGTTCATCTTAAATCAGGGCGGCTGGTTGGAGAGCCAGGATTTATGGGCTGGATTCGGCCTCACAATGGGATGGGATGGTAGGAGACCCGCAACTTATCAAGGGTATATGCGAATATGAAGGTATTGTTGGTCAATTGCACTATGCTGAGAAGGTGCTGTGAAGAATTGACAAACCATTTTCTCGGATTGTCAGGCGACCTCTGGAAAAAATGACAAACAGAGGATCAATCCCAATGCTCACTGCTGGCTTCAGCATGGTTTCATCCCCTTTTCAAGCTTCATCCCCCAAGGAGTCCATCCAAATCCTCTCTGGGCCCCCTCACGCAGTGGACATGAGCCGGCAGGCAGAGTACTCCATGGTAGTCCAGCAGCTCCTCAGTGGAACTCAAGGGGATGTCATGGAACAAACCGCTGTCACCAGCATGCTTCATAAGGACTGGGCCTTGTTGATAGTTTTGCGTTTCCCGACGTTTCTGGCAATGGATGGTTTGGCAAGCCTATTCGAGTTTTACGCTGGCATAGTCAGAACAACCCCCAACACTCTTGCCCACGAGAGGGCCTAAGATGCTCCGCCGATCCATGCCGCAGAGTGCCCCATCGCCGCTTCGAAGTCTGGACAAAACTGCTTTGGAACAACTAGAGTTTTGGGGAGCCAGAATCGGCGCAGGTGTATTATATATATGATGTTATTAAATATTAATTGTATACACGTTGGGCCTCAGTCATTCCAAGCAGCACCTTCGCGTCTGGCCGATGCTGCACGTCCCCTCATCTCCCACCATACCGGCAAAGCCAGAACGACCAAAAAGGACATCACCGCAGACCCGGAACCAGGCAACCCAGACTTCTTGTTGGCTGTCTGGATCGCCGCCACGAACCTGGCGATGCGCCGCGGAGCTTGCGCAGCGGAAGGGGCGGTGAGGTGGAAGGCGAGGTGGAAGGCGAGGTGGAAGGCTTAGGATGGCAATGGCAACCTTCTCTCAGATGGCCGAACTCAGACATTGGCCGGCTTCCATGAGGAATCTTGATCCATCTCACCGAAGAATCAGTTGATTCCAGATCATGCTGAACTCCCGAAACCATCCAGAACTCCAATTGTCTTGCACCCAAAAATCATGTTGGAAGTTAAATGGTTTCAACGACGTCCAGGGCTCGCTACCCCACACACCCCGAAACCCTCACTGGGCCACCCTGACCCCACACGTCGCAGATCTGCACCAATATACATGGAGTTGCAAGTGTCCATGTAGGGGTCGTTGAGCGTCTGCGTGCGACACCAAGCTGACTTGGTACCTAAGATGAGGTGAACGACGTCGCGGAGGGTTCGGGGTGAAAACTCAATATAAGGATTTCTGTAGTACAATGCTTGCCCTTTCTCCGAGTGAAGCTTCCAAGTGAACCTCCTGAACTTCTTCTCCTTCTCCTTGTCCTTCTGCTTCATCTTTATCTTCATCTACTTCTTCTTCTTCTGATGCTTCTTCTTCTTCCAAGTGCTTAAATCATGATGTTCTCTCTAACTTCCCTCCATTGCTCGGATTCTTGCTACTACAGTATACTCCCTGACCAGCTCTCCGACTCTCGCGACTCCAGGACTGAGACTCCCGTCCCCCGCGGGGGAAAAAGCCCTCCCCGAGCTTCCGGGCAGTCAGAGCCAGCAGGTGAGGTGCCCATGATGATGGAGTTCTGGATGTAGATTCGCCTCGAACCATGTGAGCTGAGACGGCGAATAGAAGCTATAATCCGGCCACCACGCAGACGCTCCGACGCGTTCCCTTGCGGAACGTTCGTGTTGTATGATATGTAATCATCCCATGGACACAAATAAAATCCCTGGGTCTAGAGTCTTGGGAGTCCATGAAGTTCTCCATGTCGTTTCCAAGCTATCCCCGCATAGTCTTGACCCTCGTTTGGGTGAGGTTCTTGTGATGACTGCAAAAGCCTTCGATCGCACGTCCATGCCCTGAAATGCCCTACCTATCAGAGCAGACCGTTTTATTTGCAAAATCATTGAGAAGACTAGCGCTTCAATTGTTCCAGCTAATTACCAAATTCCCTTCAACTCTACACTTCTCCTCAAACGCTGCCTGCCTTGCAATTCCCCGGCCTGAAGGCAGAGCCCACGCTCATGTAAGGCAAGATACCTTGGCAAAGTGGTTTAACACTGCTTCAAGGATTGCCACCGTCTTCACAACTGCTGACCACCTCAACTGGCGGTAGACTCTCTTCAAGCATTGGCATTCTGCAAGTTCTTGCCATGATTTTGTTCCCAAACATCGGCTGCGTGTCCCGATGCGAGAGGAGCCGAGGCCTCGCGTCCGTCTCCTGTCCTGTCCCGAGGCCGAAGTCCGCCGTTCTGCTCCGCGATCGCATCCCAACTCCGTGCCAACGAGGACCCCGGCCCATATGCGAATCAGAGACCACCTGAGCGGAAGAACGGCGTGAGATGAACGGGTGTCGGTCTTCCCGGAGTCGTTTCAAGTGATCTATGTTCATGTTCACATGGTCCGTAGATAGAATTGGCTCTAGTTCATGTTAGTTCCATCTTTTCCGACTTTCCGCTTGAAGCACTACAGGCCCAATATGCCAGCAAAGGAAGCTTATAGTAGCTTTATGTATCGGCCAGTAGCAGATCCATCCAGCTTCTTTGATGGTCGTCCGCATCTCGGCTCCATCGTCGCCCACCCTCTTCGCGTCGCCCACATGGCACACCCCCAACGCACACTCCCAAAGGAGCATGTGCGTTGAAGACGCTGTGCTGTGCCACGGAAGTGCTGCTGAGGTGCCACATTGGAGATGATGGTTCTGGGCGCTGTGAAGTCAGAGAGGTAGATGCCCACATGAGCTGCTTTCCACACCTGAGTGAAGCAGCTGAAGCAGGATGGAAGCACGAGATCTGCCAAAGCTGGTGATGCCCGGTTTCAAAAGCTGGTGATTGACAGGCAGCAAGCTTCAGTCCTAAGGCCTCGATCAAGAACTGCAAGTGACAGACCAGCCGACTAGTGACACACTGAGGTGAAAGACTAATATATAATTGTCTGATCCTTTTCGGCTTCCGATCCTCCTCCCTCAGCTCCCTGCTGTCCAAAGATTGGACGTTTGGCAAGAGCTTCCCTTGGCGGTCAGCAAGTAGACCTCGGTCAGCGCCGCAACGGCAACGGAAGGATGTCATCCAACGGAGTTATCCGATTGAAGCCCTGAGAAACAACACTTTTGAAGGTAGTTGGGACTCGGTGGTTTCAATACACGAAGCACATACAAATGTGATATCAGTAGCGATGCCCTTTGTTACTAGTATAAGGCCAGGAGTGCCCCGTTCGTAGCGATGCCCTTTGTTCCGTTCGTAGCTTCTTGTTACTACTAGTAAGGCACTTGTTACTAGAAGCGATGCACTTGTTCCGTTCGTAGCTTCTTGTTACTGTTCATAGTTCACCACATTTCACCACTGATTTCTTTGCTGTGACAGTTCGCCCCTGAAGTCCTTGGAACCCTCAAAGGAGCTGGGCATCGGCCCGCTTTCTGACGAATCACGCCTCTCGTCGTCTAATCGACCATGGGTAAAACATGCAACGTCCCATGTCAGAACTGAAACTGACCCACAAGTTCGGGTGTTTGACCCGGCGAAGTAGGGCCGGACACATCTCAAACCTGTTCACACACCGATGCGTCTCATGTTCTACCGTGTTCCCTCGGAGTTCCGCCGCCGCCGCCGGGGCATCAGCGCCGCTGCTCGTCGCCAGTCGAGGTCTAGGAGCCCCGAACGCCGATGATGACGCCCGCCGCCTCGTTGTTGAAGATGGCCCGTGGGGGGCAGGGCTCCGCCTGGGACGGCGAGGAGCTTCGGCGAATGAGGCAAATGAGCTTCTTGGCGTGGCTTTCTCCGTGAATGGATTTCGTTTGGGAGATAGATGGGATGGATGGAGGGGTTGGATTTGGGATGGATTTGAGATTGAGGTCTTTTCTTTTGGCTCAATTGTTAAAGTTCTCAGCTTTTAAAGGGTTGGTCCGTTTAAATATCTGTGATCCGTTTCTATTTCCTCCCCACAATGGAGCGATCCACCCTCCATGGTAGGCCGAACCCGGTTGTCTATTACTATGTCTTCTGCTCCTTCTTCAGTAAGGATCAAACGGTTCTTCTCAGATTTTTTCAGCACCATGCTTGGCTCATGGTGGCTATCAGCTTGGAGGCCATCGCTATTAGGTTGGAGGCCATTGCTTCTAGGTAGGGGGGCAGAGCGGCCTTTAAAGAAGAAGCCCTTTCCCATATATCTTGAGCACCATTCTTGGCTCTGTGGACTTGCAGATTCCCCCAACTCCCGAACTCCTAAGGCTCCCGGACCGGAGTGAGATAGCCCATGTCCCGCGAGCCGGACACCAAGTTACCAAGCATCCTCACCGGCCTCGGATCGTGAACCACGAGGGGAACGGGCCTTCACTGAACCATGTCACGATCATGTTGACCTATGACATCCTGTGACCTATGACTCGGCCTCCACCTAATAGCAATAGAAAGCCAATTCTAGAGGACCAGCCCACTCTTTCGGTAAGTCCATCCCTCGTTCCAAGAACTTTGAAGAACAGAAACAGCTGCGCCTACATGTGCCTACATGTGCCTACATTGTGCCTCTGTATGACTATTCCGACGTATCCTCTGTAGCCGTAGCCCACTCTTCGCACTTGTACGAGCCATGCAGGTAGCTCCGGTCCTTTATACGACGGTCACGCATCGCGCGCAGGTCGGTCCGCTACTCCTGAGGACTTGGGCAACTCATCCAAGCGGATGCCGGCGTACTGTGGTACCTCGGCTTCTCGTTGGCTTCGGCGTCTGGTTGATCTGGTTGATCTGATCTGACAAGCTACGAACGGGGTTCCTGGCCTTACTAGGAGCAAGGACACTACTAGGGGCTCTTGGCATCGCTACGAACGGAGCATTCTTACTAGTAGCAAGAAGCTTCTCTGGGAGACGGGTTGGGTTCTTCGGATTCGGATTCGTGGTTGTTTAAGGGTCTGGGTTGTCAGCATCTCTAGGGAGCATCACCTCAGGGTTCTCAGGAGGGCTCGCTCCAAACCCAGATGATCAAATGTCTGGGCGGGTTGTTGCTGTGGTTGGAACCATACTTGCTGAAGGAAGTCGATCGCGTGGTAGAATTGGTAGGATTTAGGACGGCACCTTGTGGGCGTTCCCTCATTCACCAACAGTACAATATAAAAATCCTTTCGTATGATACCGGATTCATCCCCACTCCGGAGACATGCACAAGTCCGCTCTGAGGGCCAAAGCCACTACGTCATCTTCGTTCTGCAAGGTCCTTGATTCAAAAAAACGAAGAATGAATGAATCAGTATCAAGAGGGAAGATGGTGTTTGGATGTGTTTGGACGTTTTTGGTGTCAATGGGAATTTGGATCTGTCAGTGAGATCGGCACTGAGATCGTCTCAGATGTGTCGATGTGTCGTAGAGTGAGGCTCTCCACAGAAGCATGAACCGGATCTTGCGATTGCTGCAAAAGGCTTGAAGACCAAAAAAAGAACGAAAAGTACTCTCCACTGCCAGCCATCCGCTGTCAAGCCACATACGAGGAGCTGTATCTGCCAACCACAAACCTTACAAATGCGACTGGGCGAGGTGAGTCCATAGAGACCTTGTCACTTGTCACTTGTCGGCGCCTGGAACCAGGCGCCAAGAACAAAGTGTGAAGTTCGATGACCCAAAAGATACTCCTTGCTTTCTGAAACCTGGTGGTCTACCCCTTGGATTTCAGTATGGCGCAAGCTAAAGCGAAAACTTTCGTGTCGGCGCCCTCAAGAAGCCCTCGGTGTCGGTTTGAACCCGCGCACCGTCCCCTTTATGAGGAGCGTGCAGCCCAGGGTGAGGGTGAGTGAAAACCCGATGGGCGAGTCAAACGCTTGAATGTCGAGTCTTCAAAAATCCGTTTTGCCTTGATGCCCAAGTCTTCTGGATTTGGCATGTCTTCAAAATCATAATCATGAGCCTTCCTGGACCCAGAAAAGATATGGACACGTGGTTTCTCCTCAAACTGTTGACTTACACCAGCCAGGTCCAAATTCATGTTGATGTGGAAGCAGCTGCTTGAGGATTGGGACAGCACCTCCCTTTTTGGCAACCTTGAATCGTTGATGAAATATAACGGTCGCAACACCAAACGAACAGCTCAACACGGTCTCATCATTTGGGAGGTCAACCAGCTGGTTGGGACCACACATTCGGAGGAAGGGCAGGGGTTACGTTACGGATGGTTGTGGAGTTCACCAGCTGTATACTTCACACCAAGTGCTTTTGGTCTGGGCGGTGCGCCAATGATGCAGTTGTCCTTGATCTGCAGTGCTCTTGAGCCCTGGATCGCAGCGAACTCGCAACGCAGACGAACGGAGGGCGCCCATGGGGGCTGATGAAGGCTGTGCTTGGTCGACAAGTGGATTCGGATGGATATGAATGAACTTTGGGTCGGTGTGATGGACTTGACTTTGCCCGTGAAAGTTTGAGAGGGTCATACGAATTGGTGGGTACTAGTAGTGCTCTCGTGCTCTCATCCCAAGACTGTGAATGTATGCAAAGGTCTGGAAGTAGCGATGGCATCCAACCTAACCTAAGAGTGATGGGAGGCCTACTAGCGATGGCAACCTAAGAGCGATAGCCTCCAACCTACTAGCGATGGCCTCCAGCCTAATAGCAATGGCCTCCAACCTCCCTGGTCCCTGATTGCCGCTGCATTGCTGACTCATCTCACAATCGACAATTCTACTGTGCTGCGAAACCGCCGCCACTCAGTGCACGTGCGCCTGTTGGGAGAAAATGCCGCCGTTCTTGGAACGGAACATGACCTCAGGTAGAAAGAACCAGTTTTCCCACACCTGTGGGGGGGGTAAGAGGTCCATGTTGGAGGAAGGGCCAGGAAGGGTTGATTGATGTTCCATGTTCTCCAACAAAGCTGTAGGAGTTCAAGGCCATCGCTACTAGGGTGGAGGCCATCCCTAGTAGGTTGGAGGCTATAGGTTGGAGGCCATCGCTACTCGGAACAAGAAGCCACGAACGTAGCGAAGTATCGCATGATCCCAAGGCCAAGAGTCTTGCTGTCCTTGGCCCCCAGGCACTAAGGCTCTGAGGATCAGACGTTGTTGGTGATCAACACAGGCACGTTGGCCGATTCCAAGTGCAAGGCATACTCCTGGCACGTGCGACGGAAAAACATCGATCACACATGTGGTCGCTTGAGATGTGGTCGGTTTGAGTCTACAGCAGCCAACCATGGAAAATCCAACCTCCCAAGGCCCTCATTGCCATCAGTGGCCACGGGAGCGCAAAAAAAGGGGCCCTTGGAAGGAAGAAAACATAGTCCTAACTGCGTCCCTGGAGAGAGTTGTCAAGCGCAACTTGCCGAAGAAAGCTACAGTAGTGCTGCCAAATGAAAGACAGTGTGCCCCTGCAAGCTGGGTCTGTTCTGCCTGTACATGTCTGCATCACTGAACCCAAATCGCCCAAATCCCGAACCTCCGAACCTCATGTTCGACCCGTGCCAATCCCTCAGCTTCCCAAGCGAAGATGAAGTGTGCAAAGACTAGGCCAGGGCTGCGACAGACTCCGTCCAGGAATTGCCATGGAAAATCAGCACTGGTGGAGGCTCCTGGCTGGAGGCTTGCGTGACCGTCGGCCGGTTTTCATTGAATCCAATGAAAGAGGACATCATCAGTAACAACATGCAACAACACGTAAATAATGGATTTGGAGTGTGGAACCCTCAAAGCCTTCCCCTAATTCCTCTATTTCTTGGAGGGTGGCTGGAGGTGACAAGGAGGTTTTAAGTCACCCAAGACCAAACTGCAACATCCTACCCTGCGGCGCCCGCCCGAAACGCCCTCGCCGTGACCATTCTGACAACTGGGAGCGCGGCAAAGTTGGATGAGTAGGTCACCTTCACTGCCTCGACAGAAATCACGGCTGCCCGCGTCGCCCACTCTCGTGGATTTCATGTTTAAGGGGAGCATCACGGAGCGCGGGCAAAAAATAAAAATAAAACCATGGGTGCCTGGAAAAGGAAGAAACATCGAAGCAATGGGGTCCCACCTACTAGCGATGGCCTCCAACCTACTAGCCATGGGCTCCCACCCCACCTAGTGATTTGGGTGCCTAGAAAGCATAGTTGGTATTTGCTTTCAACAAGAAGCATGCTTCCAACGTCGAGCTTCCAAACACCACGTTAAGGTGCCGACCGCCGACAGCGCGCCCTTGCCCAAGTAGTGAAAGCGTGTGTACCTCGGAGGACCCCACTGGTCTGTCAGCCACTGGGGTGGGTGCTGGTCAGATGCAGGATGGCATTGGAAGGCCACCAGTGGAGCTCCAAGAGCCATGGTTGTCTGTGGATGACTTGGTTTTCGAAATGTCCATGCAGAACAAAGAAGTGAGGATTGAACCGGCCACTTCAAAGTAGCTGTTCATGCAGCACAACTCCTTGCAAAATAGAAATCAGAACGCACTCTCCTTTTTCCACGTCGCGCTAGTGCCCCCATAGATTGTGTAAGTCAATCTTTGCCCCAACCTGGTCAGTTGCTGCCAACTACGCCTCTGTGAGAATCACACAGGTCTTGGAAGCTCGACCAAACGGGTCTTCACAAATCACCCGTCGTCAGGTCGGAGCTGGCCAATCCCAGAAGTTATCTTCTCATTGGCAGACAGAGACCTTGTAGACATCTTTGGCTCAGATCTCAGTCCCAGATGCTTCATCTAACTTTTACATACACACTCTTTAGAACTCATTCACGTCCACTGGCGTCACCCTGCAACAGCTCTGGCACCATTGCTAGTGGAGTGTCCGCCACCCTTCCACTACAAACCAATCCGTGAGTTGAGGCTATCATTTTGTAACCCAATTTTTTTTGTTCTTTTGTTCATCACTTCTGCACGTGGATCACATATCAAACATCAGTCTGTGTAGTGGATCTGGTCTCCCACATTCTGTGCACCTCATTCTTCACACTGCTGGTGAATGAACCTCACAGCAGGAAGCGCGGCCGCTTGCTGCGAACGTCGGGCTCAGGCGGTGAGAGAAACCGCTGCACGGCACTGGGAAGACCACCCTCCTTCAACTGAGCCTGGGCACGGAGCATACGATGGGAATCTAGATGTATATAAGCGACTAGTAACAAGTGCCACGCTAGTAGTAACAGGTGCCTTACTAGTAGTAACAATAAGAACTTAATTAACCTCAAAAGCAAGAATCCAATGAGTTCCTCCCTCTGATTAAAGGAAGTTGTAGTATCTATGGAGGAACCAAACTGATTCACTCCACTAGACAAGATCCAACATGTTCCCAGCTCGCGCCTGAACGGCCCTAGATTCGGCTGCAAAGCTTTCTGAGGCCATCTTCAACGTGTCCAAGCCCTCGTTCAGGGAGTTCTATATTCTGCTCTCCAGTTGGAATCGTGGTTCTTCTCTGTTCTCTATGATATATCTCTAGAGATTCAGATGGCACATCAAAGTATAGGCTACTGAAGACCCGTGCTATGACATAGGAAGTCCAATTCAATAATACAACCTTCGCAGAAACGACTTCTTGGCTTGAAGCCATCCATGCTTCAGGCAAGCTTAAAGCCAAACAAGCCAAACCAGAATTCTCAGAACCACCGAAGCACCGGTTCTTTAGGACGTTGATCTTCCAAACGGTGCAAGAATTCTCCACTCGTGTTTTTGCAACCCACGAAGAACCCGTGGGACAAGTGAAACTGTATCACTTGATCTGTCCCAGGCCTTCAAGACCGCGTGCTCTGCAATCTCTGCAAAGCTTTCATCTGTGATCATCTCTCGAAGCGCTTCAACCAGGAGAGCGGTCACCACTTCTACTTGCCATCGATGAGCCAAATCCAGGGCATGCAATGCTGTCTTGTAGTCAGGTTTGCAGTGTGAAGAGCATGTGTACAAGATCCTGGGTTGTGCTCACTGCAAAATGCATGGGTTGCTCGGCTTTTTCGGGCCAGTGTTTAAAGAAAGGTCAAAAGGATAGGCTTAAAAGGGGGACAGAATATGACAGAATCAACACGTGTCCAGACCAAGTAGCTCCAGGAAAAGCGACACAGCACTGCCGGGTGTGTCGTTCACTTCAACGCGTCGTGACCCGCCTTCCTTCATTGACGATTGCAGCATGGCACTGAGAACTGTTGATGCCTCTTTCAGCACTTGAGCATGTGCTGTCACTGGCCCATCGGCTGTCTCAAAGGTCAAGTCATGCGATCCTTTGGCTGCATAGAATTTCTCCCAAATGTCCATGATACCTGGGTGAATCGACACTCGTGGGGACGCTTGGGAGCTGGAGGCATTTGCAAAAACCATCAATACCTTTCGCAGCTGGTCCTCTTGAGCTTTCCACTCAGCTTTTTTGTGCACCTGCTGACAACTTTCTCGGACAACATCAAGAACGGAGCAAGAAGCGCAGCTGGCCTTCAAATATGATTTCTTGCTGTCTTTTAATGTATAACTCAACGAGATCTCCGTTGCAGCTTTTGAGCACTTCTGTGAGGTACTTGCCCCAGATCTGAGCAACCACTCAACAAGCTTGAGACCTTCTGCTGCTCTTACTGGGGTGTTAAACAGGAGAACGTACACACCCATCACCAGAAAAGTCCACCCATGTGTGGGGTGCAGCCGGCGCCAATGAATTCGCCCAGGATGGAATGCCTTCATGTCGTCGGAGCTCGGAGCATGACTCTCATAAGAAGATAGGAAGGTCCAAAGTAAATCTGTTTGGTCCAACTCCTGCATACCAGTGTCAATGGGCCACGGCACAAAGGCGTTTGATGAAACACTGCTGCAGGAGCGGCTGGAATTCTTCAATTCAAGAAACGCGGTGGCCAATGCAAAAGAACAGTCTAGCCGAATGACATGGAAACAAAGTTTTGACCAGCTTATTTTCAGTATCGTCAAGTACACTCTACTCACCTAACTGCCAACACATGTCTCGTGTGCGAGGCACATGCATCTTGGAAACCCCAACAGAATGGCAGTTCCGGCCAGTTGTACACTTCCAACCACTCCACAGGGCCAGTATATGAGGTACTCACCACCCACTGAATTGCAAACAAGCTGAAAAACTGCTTTGGCACCTCAGAGATGCGCGGAGAACGCTTCTTTCCATCTATTTTGGGCGGGGGAGCAAAATCCGTCAAATGAGCACGAGGTCCCGTCAAACATGCTGGGACTCCCGACTGCATGTTGAGCTCGCCCACCACGCTGGAGCCCGCGAGGTCCCCCAAAGCCCTCGGCTGGCGACATCCGGAAAAAGAATATCCAAAAAACATCAAAAAACATCAAAGCCCTTAGTCATGCGTGGTGTTTAGTCCCTAAGTGAGTGGATAAAGGGCACCCATTAAGCACCCCTCTTGTTACGAACGAAGCAAATATGCTCCGTTCGTGGCGATGCCCGTTTCGCCCCGTTCGGTTCGCGTCCGATCGCTCCGTTGCCAGGAGCCCCGTTCGTAGCTTCTAGTAAGCCCCTTAGTAATGCATTTCTTGGCCATGTTGGTCTCAAACCTCATAATGACTCATAACTCATAACCTCATAACCTCATCCACGTTGGCACTGCCTTTGGTCTTGTCTGCCAGGTCGAAGAAGAACTTTTCAGCACGGTTTGGGTGAGAACAGCGATTGGGCCATCGCTATTAGGTTGCTCTTAGGTTGGAGGCCATCGCTAGTAGGTTGGAGGCCATCGCTCTTAGGTTGAAGGCATTGATATTAGATGATATTAGGTTGGAGGCCATCGAGTCTAGATTGGAGGCAATTGCATTCGGTTTCCTTTTCTATTCATTCGGTTCCTTTTACTCGTATTCAATTAAGGTTGTAAAGCATGGACAAAAATGTCTCATGGGATCGTTTGCAGGGGTGGAATTCTCAAGCGCTCTCTACGTTAAGTCAGGACATGTCAAATTCCAGTCACCCTAGGCTTCCCCGCACATCGAAGACCTCGATGTGCCCACCGTACATGCTTCCGCCGGTCTGGTCCATGTTGGCCGACTCGATGATGATCTGTTGGGTGAACGAAGGAAGGTCCAAGCTTGGTCGGAGAGGATCCTCCACATGCAAACACTCAAATGAAGAGTTCACTGGTGTTCACTGATGTTCACTGGTTCAACCAGAAAGGACCTGAACTTAGTATGAACTGTCAGTCTCTGATCGAATTCTTGTGAAGGAATGCAGGATGCTGAGATGAGAGCTTCACCAAAGCCAGTTGTTCTATGTTGGTTTGCAGATAGTAGTAACAAGAAGCTACTAGTAACAAGTGCATCGCTTCTAGTAACAAGTGCCTTACTAGTAGTAACAAGAAGCTATTAGAAACAAGTGCCTTACTACTAGGAACAAGTAATTCTAATAGCTTCTTGTTACTACTAGTAAGGCACCTGTTACTACTAGCGATGCACTTGTTACTAGTAGTAATAAGTTTGCAGATACCAAAAAATGACTTTTCGGCCAACCTCCCAGGAACTGATCGAGCAAGAGAATCCCCGCTTTATCACATTGGTCTGCAAGCTACTTGTGATGGAACCAATATGAACCAATCCGGGAACACCATCAGGAGAATTGGTGGCAAAGCAGAAACCACTTTGCAGCAAATGCATGCAAATGATCAAAACTATTCATGTCTTTTTCGGCAATTTTCTTCCATCAACGCGTTGGAGGTCATCGATCTTATAGGTCGGAGGCCATCGCTCTTAGTTGTTCGCTCATGTCTTTTTCATAGCTTCTTGTTAGCTTCGTAGCGATGCCCGAAATGCTCCGTTCGGTTCGCGTCCGATCGCTCCGTTCGTAAGGCCAGCTTCGCCCCGTTCGGTTCGCGCCCGATCGCTCCTGTTTGGTATATCTCACTCCCCAAAGGCACTGAGCTACCGTACCGTTCGATCCAAACGAGCTACAGCAGCCCGCAGGGCCACCTGGCTGGGCCGTTCGGCTGATGGACCACATGCAGGCCGTTGCTCAATAAGAAACTGCGCTCTTGGTCTCTCACTATCGCTTCACCAAAAATTCGGGTACCCCTTCTCAAGCAAATCCGCTCCCCTAAGCTCCGCCCCCCCGCGCCGTCTTGCCCTCGTCATTCACAGGCACATCCTCGGCGAAGCGGCGCTCGCCCAGGGAGCCGCTCCAGTGGATCCTCCGGCAGTGGGAGGGATCCAGCGGCGGAGAGGAAAAGCATGGAAAAGCAGCGCAAGAACAGTCTGAACAAGTTCCAGCTTCATTGCTCATGTCAAGTTCCAAGTAGTGTCTCCGTCTGCAGGTCGTGCCTTTTTTTTGCTCTGTCAGTAGCCGTGTCCCACATTTGGTGATCTGCAAAAGCCATATCCAGCCTCCAACAGTCGTTCTCTGCATCGTATTCCTCAGCTTCCACACATCACACTTTTGGAGCAGTCAAGTTAATTCTACTGTTGGGTTAGTGACAAGGTGCATCGCTACTAGTAGCAAGAAGCTACTATAGTAACAAGGACATTACTACTAGATACTACTAGTAGTTTCTAGCATCTTCTAGCTACTACGAGCGATGCACTTGCCAGTTACCAGTCCCAGACGCAAGATGCCATGATTGTGCCAAGACGATCCAAGACGACGATGCCCCCAGCGACAAGACGACCCTGCATCATCCTGCATTCAAAGTGGCAGGATCTTGCGTCAAGATGCGGCTCTTGGATTCCCGCCAAGGATTATCAAACCTGGGCACTGCGGTGAGTTACGAGTGCATCTCTTCGCAACAGAAGTTTGCCCAGCTTGAGAGCACAGCCAACTTCGAATGTGAGGGTCAGACATGCAAATCAACTGGGGAGACTGGCTTCTTTTCTGCAGATCCAGATCCTTGGACCTTCCAAATCCTCATCCTCACCGGTCCACCCGCTAAGCAGGCACCTGGGCATCCCGGCTCCGTCACCGAGAAGGCCACTTCGCTCCCCACCGGCCAATCCAAGGGCCTGAGGACTCTGAACACCACGCGGCGCAGTACGTCGCGGCAGCGCGTGTCACCACCCACCGCGGGCGCCCCCCCGCGGCCTGCGATGGATGGTTTTGGTGCACGAAGTTCACGAACGAACGAAGCTCTTCAGCTGAAGCATCTCAAACTTGCAGAGTCCCTTGATACGCCCGGAGTCTCCGGATCACTACTCCTTCTGCTGGTGACGCTCAGGTGTTCGCAACGATCCCAACTGAGTCGCCCGATCCCTGAGGTGTTCGTCACACAGGCGCTCTCGTCGCTGCCCGCGATGGTGCTGGCCAGGCGCAGCCTGAGTGGAAACAAAGAGGTTCGCAGAAACAAGGAGCAAGTGTTCGTTGGAAACCGGTGAAGCCTCACCCAGGTAGTTTGTAGAGATCTGTAGAGCGCTTGTTCATAGCTTTGATGTGAAAGCTGCTAGATCCAAAATATCAAACGCCTTCAAACAGCATGATCGTAAGACTACAACGAAGGTCATCCTGATACATCCACCTCATAATATGGTCAATGGTGCATTCAGGCGTAGTGACCTAACACTTTGTTGAAAGCTTTCATGAAAAAAAAGGTATGGCAGCCCTTCACCTTGAGGAGTTCCACACTCCGATGGATCTTCGTTCACTTCTCAACATGTAGCGGTCACGGGCCGCCGACTTTCAGGTTAACCAGTTCTGTCCGAGAACATGGCGGACATGCTGATCCATCTCATCATCACATGTCCATGTTGATCACTCGATGCACAGCACAGTGTCTACCGAAACGAACGAACGACGCAACCGAGCCATGTCGAAGGTGTCCTGGGTCCCGTGCCAGGTCTGCTCGATGGGCGCGCCATAGGTGTTGAACTGAGGCGGAGGCTGTACGCTGTACACCCTCGTGTGAGTGGCCCCAGGGTCGATGATAGCAGATACATGTCCTGTGCGGCCCAACTTGACAGTGTTCCAGCATGAGCATGACTCCTGCTGAGGAACCCCCTTGTTCCAAGTGGCCTTTGTCCGCACCAGTCTTGACTCTGAGAATGTCTGCAGTAGACTGCAGTCATCAGATTCTTGCCCTCATGGGCTGTTTGGACACCACAGCGAGCAAGCATGAACGAGTGCGAGAGAGCGAGAGAGAGAGAGAGAGACACAACAACAAAAAGAGACTTAAGAGAAAAAGAGGGGACGGAGTTGACTTAGTTAAGTCGAATGGTCGCACAAGAACTGTACTTTGCAAGAACGGAGGCCACAAACTGTTGGTGGCCCCAAAGAAGTCATCAGTTCCTTTTGCCACTAGGTCCCACCCGCAGCGCTGTCTGCATCTCAGGCCCCCAAACAGTACCAGGCACCGCGATCACCTGCAGTGTGTCCCATGTTCCAGAAAAAAAGGTTGGGGTATATAGTAGTAACAAGGTTCGCTACTAGTAACAAGTGCCACGCTACTAGTAACAAGTGCCTTACTAGTAGTTACAACAAGCTATTAGGAACAAGTGCCTCGCTACTGGTCCGAACCGTGGTGGAAAATGCAGCGAAAGTCAATCAACATCCATTCCACGCTCTGATGGTACACACCCATCTAGTTCGGAGCCGTAAAACATCACAAACCTGCATGGTGACTTTCATGTGGTTTCCCCCTGAATCAGATACAGCCCCCCCCAAAAAGGGGCCCGGCAGCCTGTTTGGGACCAATCCGGTCGAAGATCCATCCTTGTGATCTGTACATCCGGTGCTGTCCATCCTTTCAAACACGTCCAACACGGCCTGACACCGTTTGATGGTTGCCCCGTCCAACTGAGGTTAGTGGAGACACCGATCTCTTGAGGTTACAGATGGGTCATCGGCTCCACATATCAAGTGAAGCACATCGATCCGTCCGAGACTAGCGGCCACTAGTTTCAAGCGGCTTAGCTAGTTTGCACGAAGTCTCAAGCCACTGTTTCACCCGTTCTGCCCTCTCTTCTGAGCAGGCATGTTTTGGACATCTCATCGGCGTTCTGCCCTTCTTCACTTGTCTTGAAGAGTTCAAGAATTGCCAATCTGTCTCAAGGATTGTAGCAAACCGTGAAGACGCTGAGCTCGGAGATCCGCTCAGAAATCGGTGTGCGCACACCCCAAGAGCTGGAAAGCTTTGCCAAGAAGAGTGAATTATGCAGTAACAAGGACGCTATTGGGTGGAGGCTGTCACTATTAGGTTGGAGGCCATCGCTACTAGGAGCAAGGACGCTACTAGTAGCCCTGTTGGAGCATCGCTCAAAGTGAATTCTCGAGAAAACCTGCTGCTGGACATGCTGATGAATCTGAAGACGATTCATCAGCACATCCAGCAGCAGGTTGTTGGTCACCGGAGCCACCCCACAATGGCTGCATCCGAAGACAACCACTGTCCAAATGGTGCAGTGTCAACAAATTTCAGAATCCGTCTGCTATGACTTCCTTTGCGATGTTCAAGGCGCTGAACTGGCTATTACAACGTCTTCATTCGACAGCATCCATCATGGACCGTGGTTACAAACCCATCCACTTGCCATTGCCAAGTGAAGCGCCATGTAGCCACGGCATGATTGGGACCGTGCAACACATGAAGACTTTGTCATCCTGCCATGGCTGCACTCATCACTCAGTGTCGAACACGCAGTTTCGGGCCACGAAATTCTGCAACGAGTCAGTTCAAAAGCCAGCGTGAAACTGGTCAAATGCCCACGAACACGAGGTTCTACGGTACCTGGTCCTCCAAGTACAAGTACACACCATGACACCATGAACTTCTGTGAAGATTTCCTGAGCTTCAAGGAGTGTGTCAGATACTTTGATACCAACTAAACCAACGTCGTTTTACGTATCTCAGTGGCGAAGTTTGCCACCTGCCGAATCAACTCGGGCATCTCCTTCGGTCAAAATTAATAGTAGCTATTTGTTCCTATAATAGTAATGGCCTCCAACCTAATACCGATGGCCTCCACCCTGGGAAATATGGAGAAATCATTGAGGATGGGATATCCCACAGCATCAAAGAGCACCAAAACGCGTCAAAGCTTGGACGGACGATGACAGATGTCAATGGGCTTGGCATGGCTCTACGACTGCGTCGGCACGGAGAGATATGGTGATACCATATCACGACGCGCGTTTAGAAGGCGTCTTCTGGATCTGGGTGGATTGTGTGAAGTCTCTTTTGAGGGCAGTGCCGTGTTTCTTCACTCCCAACTCATGCAACGTCCATCGCTTCTAGGTTGGAGGCCATCGCTAGTAGGTTGGAGGCCATTGCTATTAGAAACTCAAAAGAACTCTCAAAAGAACATTGAAGTAGATGACTTTGAAGTAGCTTGGACCAGGTTTGGTTCGGGCTGGTTTCAAGCCTTTGCGGTGTTAGCGCCCTGGAAGGCTTACCAGGAGGTAACGAATAAAACGCATACGGTCATTGGAGGCCCATACAGTCTGGATCCTCAATCAGTCTAGGATGGTCATGTATACAAAATCTCATACAATCCATGCTTCTCGCCATCCGGGTCAGATTGACATAACAAACCTTTTTAAAAGGTTTTAACAACAGATTGTTTGTGAACTTTCTCGGGAATTCTCACCACTTCATCATCCCCAAGCCTTGCCCCAAAGAGATTGTTCTTCCACGTAGACATACTCCTGGCGGCACCAGCGCGGGGAGACGCCGGCGCAGCGTGGGTCGAATCGTAAGTTCTCCGCCGGATCCCATGTGAAGTTGACTCATGACTAAGTTATTCCTGTTTAGAGAAACTGAGAAACACAGTAATAAACAAAATAAACAACTAAAAATAAACTGTGTTGAACACCGGATATCATCTGCAAGATTGAAATGATCACTCAAAATTCTGCAAGCGTGGCCCAAGGAAAAGAACCCCGACTTTGCTTGAGCGTCAGCTGCATTCGTCGTGGCTTGGTTTCCTCATGCCCATCTGGAGACATTGGGGAAATGCTTCACACATACGTCTCCGAAGTGGTTTAAGGGAAATTCCTATGGGAAACCCATAGTTTTGGGGGTGAAAACCGTGGTTTCCTGTGCACCTTCCCTTGAATCAATCCATTGAAGCATCCCAAAGCCCTTCACCAAAGCTGGACCAAAGCCCTTCGACCCACGAGAGTATGATAAAAATCCTCGATTCATCTCATCTCCCGGCATCTCCATGATCTGCCCTTCATCCCGGTTTCCTGACTCAAGAGAAAAAGAGCCCTGGAATCCGTTGAACACCTGGCCGTACTTCAGCACTTCTGGCGTGTTTGATCTTGACTCTTCGAAGTCTTCGGACCTGTTCGAACGTTCGACCGGCAAACCATCACCCGATGCGTCACCCGATGTGTTCAGCGTCTCTTCATCTCTCCTCGGTGTTCAACACATAGCCCTTGAGCTTGATCCTCATCGTCTTCTTCGTCTCCAAGCCGAAGGGCTTCTCCGGAGTTCCTGAAGACTGAGGACGCCACCGGGGGCCGATCGAAAATGGCACAGCAAGATCGATCTCCACCGGGGATCGAAGAGCCCCCACTAGGGAGCCCTCACTCCTCAGAGCGTCTCCTGCTACTCTTGAAGTCCACGGGGCGGGCTGACTGATCTAATTCAAATGCTTTAAACCCTCCTCAGGTCCCTCGACCCGACCCACCATCCTGTGACCCAAAACCTGTGACCAGAAACTTCTCAACCGTAGAAGTTCGATTTCTATCAAAAACGTTGGAGATCCCACATAAAATTGATTTGTGAAATTCAATATGACTAATATGTGTTGAGATGTGATCCGTTTTTTTGACTTCCCTCCAAGTGTTCCAGACTCTGACATCTATTTCTCTCACTGCCGAAGCGCCAATTTCCATGGTTCCCCAGACCAGGATAGAGCCTCGCCACGCGTGGCCCAAGTGGGAGCGACACTGGACAGCCTACTAGCGATGGCCTCCGATCTAATAGCTTCTTGTTCCGTTCGTAGTGACAGGAGCCCGTTTGTAGCTTCTTGCCTCCGTTCGTAGTAAGGCCACAAGCTCCGTACTATGGCCTTCGAGGCTCGTGAGCTATAACGAACGAAACCTTTGCCAGCCTTCCGGGAAGCACCATTTAAACTAAAGGGTTGACCTGGTTTTTGTTGTGTCAAAGCCTTAGTAAAACAGAAGTAAAACGATGTAAAGCATAAAACAATGAAATGGTTGTTCGTTCAAGGCAATAAAATCCAAGGTGGTTGGAAGCCTAGGGACTCTGCAGTTGAATGAAGGTCTCTGCGTCTGCAGATCAAGGAACCCCCAAAAAGCTAGGACCTGTGGAAAGCAACCCTCACATGAGACGGAACCCCATGTGGTTGATTTGGTGCGACTACCTTAGTCCTGGCACTGATTCCGTGAGCAGCATTCCACCGTTGACAAAGGAGTCATCGTACTGGAAGGCAAGGGCACCGAGTACATGAGGTTTAGCACCTTCCTGTGTGAAGAAAGACACGTGGAAACGCTGAGACATGCTCTGGGCACCCGATTAGCTGTGATGTTAACGTTGCAAAAAAGAAGACCTTGGGATACCCCTGGTTCCTTGCAGTAAAAACCCGCATGTGGATGAGGGTTCTTGGACCCAAAACGCGCTCGTCTTTTCTGAACAAGAACTATTAGAATATAGTCTGGAATGTTATTCTTCTGCTTCAGCCAGTGCCCCTCCGAGTGACCTGATTGCAGAATGCGATCGGCGCCTGCAGTGGTGGTGGGAGCAGCCCAAAGCTGCCCGACGTACTAAAAAGGATGTGAAGGATCTTCAACAGGTCTGAGGTGTTGGAATTGGCGAAATGCGGTGTGTTTTGCACATGTTCCTGGTCCTTTACATCGGTGCTTCACTTCAACACCTCAAGATAGCTCAAGGCTGGACAGGACTAGTCTGACAGAATTGGCGAATCCTTGCCAATGGGTTTGGGGTCATTTCAGGTCCTCGGTTGAACCACAATCACCCCAGGGTGTCTATCTCACACTGAGAGAGCCTGTCTGTCTCGCTCAAACAGGGCGAGACACTCCTCAGTTTTTGCTAGGCGTAGCTGTACTTCCATTCCAAGCTTGCGATTTCTGGCATACTCATGGCCTTACCTGATTCGTCTCCAACCTAATAGCGATAGCCTCCAACCTAATTGAGATGACCTCAAAGCAGATTAAAGTCCCATTCTGTCCGACATTCATGTTCTCAGAGATGCGCATCAGGTCTAAAAAAAGCGTCTCGCTAAGCCTCTACACCCTCCCAATCTCTCGGTGTGTCCTGTGTTTGTCATCCAACATCTGAACCAAACGTCCAAACTGGGTCATCCTGCTGTCATCAAAGGACAACTTGCCATAGATGGTGAGGTTCACCAATTCTTGCACGTCCTGGTGCCACTTCTTGCAGAGTCCGTGTCAGGTGGGGCTTGTTTTTCACGTGCCTGGTGGACATGATGAGATATGAGTGTTGCAAAGGACCTTCGGTGTCCTTGCGGAACTTGGAACGACTGAAGGTTCACAAGTCAATGGCCGAGCATGTCTTTCGGGTCTGTGAAATATGTATGATTGAAATATCGAAAACAGTTTTCTGGCCATCAAGTGATGGCTCACCCATGTCCATACTTATCCTTGGTCAGGTTTGTGGTGCTTCCCTGACCGATTTCTGTGCAATCATGATAAGTGTGGGTCCTGGCAAGCACCAAACTCCATTCTTGCAAGCCATTGCAGTAGACATCCCTTGACCATCTCTGCTGCTTGCACGACAAAAGAGACCCAAACCACAAAAGAGACCCACATCCAGCACCTGCGTGCCCCCCTTCGCGCGTCCCCCTTCGGCCCCCGTGTCGGCGGCGTCGGCCCATCAGGCGCACCATGTCGTAGAGGATCCAGTCTTCCTTTTGGATCTCCACCGCCTGTCCCTGGACGTCGCCTGCGCACGCGGCGCCGCGGGAGAAACGGACACATCGCCATCGCCGTCGAGAGACGGCAGCGCCCAGAGACGGAGAGAATCAGGAACTTCGAGTCTGAAAGCGGCCTCCACCCTAAGAGCGATGGCCTCCAACCTAGAGGCAAAGCAAACTATATTAAGTTCAGAATTTTTTTATCAGAATTTAGGGATGATGTTTCAAGGTGAAAGCTGATTCATGGACAGCCAGGATGACTTCAGCTGTTAGAGAATCAAGAGTCATTCTAATTTTCTGCCAGAAGACTGAAAGAAGGAACTCCGACTCCTTCCTCTTGAACATGTCGTGTCTGGTGGAACGACCGTATGTCATCAGCGGTTTGGCCGACCGACGTAGCTCTGAGGGCCCCGACCAAACTTCTCACTCCACCTGAGAGAAGAAAGTCTTGGCCGACATGCTTGAAACATTACATGGTTGTAGAGCAGAATGTAGCTTTGTGGATATCTGGCATTGGCCCCAAGCTGAGGATTTTGACAGCCAAACATCAAACACAGGACAATATTCACCAACTTACATTGGTCTAGGACTAGGAGTGAAAGTTGGAAGAGCTGAAAAACAAAACGACGTGTCAAAAGGGAAAAACGGTGTTGCGGACCTGCATGCGCAGGTAAATGCATCGACTGCCTCTCTATTCACAATCTCAACGCCAAAGGAGCTTCGTCCGAAGACTCAGACAAATCTTGAAGCCTAGAAGCAATGACCGCCAACCTAATAGCCATGGCCCCTCCAACCTACTAGCGATGGCCTCCAACCTAATAGCCATGGCCTGCAACCCAATAGCGATGGCCTCCAACCTAATAGCGATGGCCAACCTACTAGCGCTGGCCTCCAACCTAATAGCAATGGCCTGCAACCTAATGGCGATGGCCTCCAACCTAATAGTGATGGCCTCCAACCTAGACAGATCTTGAATCCCGGGCTGCCCCCCCCGCTTAAAAAAGATGCTTGAAAAAACGGCTGTTAAAAAGACAGCAGAAAAAAAAACAGCCAATAAACAACAGTTTAAAAAGAACGTTTAAAAAACTTGTTCAAAAGAAAGCAAAACTTGTTCAGAAAACAACAACTAAAAACACATACTTTAAAATCAATGCGAAACAAAATATATATAAATATAAAATAAAAAATAAAAAAACTTAACAGAAAAGGCCGCCAGGGAGGGCGGCAGGGGGAGTTTCCTTGAAGAAGCGCGAGCTATCCTGCGTCCAGTCGGTAGTAGCTACTTGTAGGTACGAGTCGCGGCCTCCCCCCCCCCCCGCCCGCGCGCGAAAAAGCTCCCCCGACCGCTACTCCTACGTCCACCTCATCTAGCTACTAGCTACACTAGCTCCCTTCCCTACCTCTTCTACAGTCTCCCCCCCCCCACTTTGAGCCCGGACCTGATGTAGTGAGACCAATTCTGCTGCCGATCCGGCAAACCTGGCGGAAGGCGAGCAACACAGGCAACTGGTCGTTGTACACCCGCCACAGTCGTTGCATCGCACCGAAGAACACACAACTCCTGGGCCCAGTCCCGCCTTGCAAGCAGCCCTCATCTGGGCACTTTCGTGCCTGGCAGCCATGTGGCATGTCCAGGGAAGCATGAAAACAGTAGAAGACAGAAGTCCATCACTCAAGATGCAAGGTGAAAGATTAAGTGTTCTTTTCGCAGCAATGGGGAGTATATTGAGGTGAAGAGTGTGATCTTTTCCATGGATGCCGTTTCTTGGGTGAGCATCAAGAACGTACTGGCGAGTGTACTGGCGTTCCATCACACGTCGTATCAGTCAAACATCTGAATCAGAACAACAACCTGGCTTGTCAGGGAAACCATCAGCGATCCTCTTGTCTTACTCGGTACAATCATCGCCTGTCTTCCAAGATTCGGTAGGATGTTTCCCTGGATCCCCCTACCCAGCAGTTCGAAAAAAAGGTGTGCCTCCTGGAGGAAATTGGAAGGGGTGCTCATTCTCCATACCTGTATCCACCTCAAAAACAACACTGTTTTAGTGCGAAAACTCTCTGTCTCATCCCAAAACTCCTCTGTCTCATCGAGTTTCGCGTCCAAAAACACTCCACACGCACCCAGAACGCCCGGCCTCCAGGTGGGCACTGAGCGGCTGTTGCTCCCAGCTGTTTCCAGCCTCAGCCGAGTGCCGTGGACTGGCCGCTCGGACGGGCCATCTCCACCAATGGAGCGAACAGAAAACACCACTGCGATGGGCAAAAGCTTTTGCCCAAGAGAGCTGGATCAGTCGGATCGTCTGATCCCCAGACACGACTAATGGGACTGCCATAGGACTGCCGCCCCATTGACCCCCCTGGCACCACCACCCCAACTGATCGGCATATATGGCAGTCCCATGGAGTGTCCTGGGATCGGTCGTCTTTTTGGGGTTCTTTCTACGACGACCGATTCGAAGGACAGCCTCTTCGGATCTTCAGTCACATCATTCAGATTCAGCCCATATTAATATTATACATCGCTAGTAGCAACAGGTGCCTTACTAGTAGTAACAATGTTTGCTATTAGAAACAATAAGCTTCTTGTTACTACTAGTAAGGCACCTGTTACTACTAGCGATGCACTTGTTACTACTAGATATTTGATTTAAGCCTACTGAACGGGTACCCCCTATGAAACGCGTCCTCGTGGTTCGATTCTCCCGCGATTTTTTCCACTAGGCCTCCCCTACCGGCAAAGGGAAGCGGAAGCTCATGGCCCAACTCTTCTTGTCCTCGGAAAGATCCGCGTGAGATAACCGCCATCAGCGGGGCGCAGCACCCGGTAGGGTGCAGCACCGGTAGGGTGTTCAGGAATTTCAATGAACCTGATGAGAACCCATCGATTTGGGCACTTTTATCTATGATTTCTTGTTGTTTGCTTGTGGGACAACTTGAGGATTCCAGCCATCTGTTTCGTGCGATGCAAGCCTTGAAGAGTCAAACGACGTCGTCTCCCTCCATGAGGCTGTAAAGGTGAACATAGCTCCCGACGCTCGGTCCGGTGAACATGAGGAAAAAGGACTCCGTCTCAATGCTTAGAACTCTAAGTGATCGCCTTTCATTTGCATCATGAGACGGTATACCATTCACGTCATTCTCTGCTGAATGTACCCAGCCCGCGCCAGCCGGTGCGCGCCTTCATTCCGTGGGTCATGGACGGCAAGTTCTCAGGTGTTTCCAAGGGCTCCGGTACCGAAAGGTAGGGCCTCAGGCCCATTGCGGCGTCGTCTCTCGAACCGTGAGGCGTTGGAACATCGGGTGATTCAGAAGCTGTTCTCTCAGAGCACGCAACCCTCAGACTTCACTGGAGTGGCTGGAGGGGCCCACCACTCAAACCCCCTGAAGGTTGGGTGTAGCTTGATGAGTTGGTGTTGACTGTGTTGACTACTTCGGTCACAGATCAAGAGATGCACCCCATTCCATGGTGTCACAAGAAACCTGACGCACCCTCCAGAGAAATTGGTGGCCGGCTTGTACTCCTCGTCTTCCAAGGCTTTCAGTTCGGCGGTCTGTGCGCAAGTCGTCTTCCAATTGGTTGTGATTCGTTGAGTACACAGACGAGTACAAGAAAGTGGAAGGTGAAAGGCAGCTCTGTCATTTAGGTTGGAGGCCATCCCTACTAGGTTGGAGGCCTTCGCTTTTGGGTTGGAGGCCATCGCTAGTATGTTGGAGGCCATCGCTACTAAGTTGGAGGCCATCGCTAGTATGTTGGAGGCCATCGCTACTAGGTTGGAGGCCATCGCTACTAGGTTGGAGGCCATGGCTACTAGGTTGGAGGGCATCGCTTTAAGAAAGTGGAAGGTTAAAGTTTAAAGGCGGCAACTCTCATTTCAGAGGACTCCTGAACTTTAAGCCCTGAGCGACTTCTCTTCCAACCCAGAATTTGAAGAGGAAAACCAGACCAGTGCGATTTGGAGTATGAAAATCATAGTATCACACGCCTAACTACTAAATGTGCATGTTCTCCAGCCAAGCGCAGCTTGAGTTTCTTCATTCAACCTTCTGCAAGAGCTTCGGACAAGTAGACAACTTATGGATTTTTGTAGCTTCAGCATTGCCAGTACCAGCTGAAATGTTGGAGTCATCAGATTGTCGACTCCCAGAATATCTCAGAACATCGGGGGGGACCCCCCAAGGTGGCAGCAGTATATCAACACCCAATCCCAAGCTCTTGCATATTCTGTCACATGGTCCATGCAGTTCAAGTTCTACAATGAGGTAGGAGACTGCAGCCTCACCATTGCGCACTCACAGCTCAAACTGCGCCTCACCATAGCGTGTCCCCACGTACCAAGAGTAGGGATTCTTCAGCTTCACGTGATCATAATCCTCAGAGGCCGTCGCTCTTAGGTTGGAGGCCATTGCCATTGGGTCAAACGCGCCAGCGCGCGGCTAAGCTTCGGCGACGAGGCCGATTCGCTCGACGAGGCAGGCGGTGTGTTTTTCGTGACAAATCGAGCTTTCTCCCACGGGTCGTGTGTGTGTGTGTGGTGTGTCACCGGCAATAATTGGCGGGTCGGTCGCTTGACATTGCTTGACATCTGACAACTCTTCTCGGGCTACTAGTAACAAGGGCATCGCTACTAGAAGCTTCTTGTTACTAGTAGCGATGCACTTGCTGCTGGTAGCAAGAAACACGCGAATCCTTCAGCTCTGAAAAAAAGCCACGGCTTTTGTTTTGGGTCATGACCGGTGCTGCGAATAGTATCGAAAAATCTGGACACCGTCGACCGTATCTTCCGAGTGGATCTGGGAGGTCGGGCCATCCAAAAGGCCAAGCCGAGCTGCAGCCTCAGCCAAGGCATCCCGGCGAAAGTGTGTTGTTAAGGACAGTCAACTGCTTGAAAGATTTAACAAAAAGCTCTTGATGATCTGATCAGCTTCTTCTCATACCCACTCAATTTCTCCAAGGCCCTTTTGCATCCTTTTAGTACCCACCATCCGCCACCAACAGAACCGCACCTGCCAAGCATTGGCCCATGATCCGCCACTCGGGGTCCGGACCACTCGGGGTCTGCCACTTGTTTGGCCTTCAGCGCATTGGACTCCTTCTGCTGCATCAAGTCAGCTGAGTGCGGCGCCGTTCGCTGGAAGAGAAGGAGTCCGGAGACCCCACAGAGATCCCAACGAAGCTCTGATCTCAAATCCAGCCAGACCGTCTCATACGATGACCCATCTTGGTCGAAAAAACAAAACACATCAACTGCTTAAGACATCTTAAGACATCTTAAGACTAAAACCGTCGCGTCGGTCGCGGCGCTCACCCTGAGCAGCCCGGACCGAAAGCCCAGTTCACGCCCGCTTGCGTGAGGTCCATGCCTCGAATCGGAAACACAGAGAGGTCACAGGTGCATTGGCCTCCAACCTACTAGCAATGGCCTCCAACCTATAGAAGCCATTGTTTTCACCATGTTTTACATGTGTTTGACAAAAAGCCATGTGGAAAAGACCGATTTCATGAGAGAGACCATGCCAGGAAACGCTTGCTGAACCCGAAACCTTCCAGTCAGGATCAGTTAAGGTGCCCTCTCACAGTTTCTGATTCCTCCACCAACTTAGCACCAAATGTCCAAAAAATCTCTGGTTCCAGATCCATGGCCATCTCCAAGAGTCATTCTTGGGAACACTGTCCCCATTTCGACGGAAGGAGGCAAGCTTTTGCCTCCGGAACCTCGACATCCGTCCGCTGTGCCAGGAGGCCCAGGAAGTTGGGGCGGATCTCCAGCCGCTGGTTCGCCACCACCTGGCCGTCCAGGCCGCAGAACGACACGCGCGGAAAGCGGAAAGCGGAGCGGCTCGCTCGAAATGCGGAGCCGGGAATGGATCGGAGGATCCGAGTCGTGTTAGACCATGAAGAAATGGTTGACCTGGTTTTTTTGTCGTTTACACATGTTTAAAGTCCTTAGTAAGCCAATATATGGTTGTTCCGTACAGCCTATTGATATAGAATGTTGGTTGGACCGGAATCCTAGGGTTTGGGGTTCTGACAAATCAGCAAGTCCACTACCATTCACTGAGTTCTGACAGGGTTCTGACAGGACTGGCTGTTGCATCCCCCAAGAAGGTTGACTCAGCGTTGGGTGACCCAAACCCGCTTATGCACATTGTCACATTACCCATCTTGTGTGCATTAGAAGCGATGGCCTCCAACCTACTAGCGATGGCCTCCAACCTACTAGCTATGGCCTCTAACCTAATGGCAAGATCTAAGAGTCATGAAGAAACATTTGTGTGGAACGTTTGAGACCCTGTGAGGATCATCAAAGAGTTCAGTCTTTGCGCTGTGAGGATCAGATGTGGCACGTTGACCCGAATCCATGTTCACCGACTATCAAAGGACGAGATCCTGTTTAAGTCTAATGGCTCTGGGGGCCTCAGGAGATACCCTGGAGATGGGGTGAAGCCTGAAACCTTGACGCATCGCACGAAACCGACCTTGGACTTTTCTGTCACGAGACTTTGGAATCAGTAGATGATGATGGGGGATTGGTCATGTAAACCGAACACATACACTTGCGTTGTTTTGGGGATCTTCCTCCATCAACTTGACCCGGCGTCACACCGTGAAACGAGGTGTCTCATGCTCTCTGGGGCCCCAAACAGGGAAGGCCCATCCCCAGAGCTCAAGCTTCTCATATTCATGCGGCTGCCACAACCTCAGAGTGTCGAAAACTGAATTTCTCGAGTATACAGACGAGGTAGGTTCTGGCATGTATGTGACTGTTTGATGCCTGTGTCATCCAAAATGAATCGACTGCGCCACCGGCGCAAGGACCTTAGGTCTACTGGTGACCAAGATCACTCCTCTCGAATCTGTTTCTCCTTCAGTTCCTGAAATCGGTCTTACATGGTCTTACTGCTTCTTTTTGCCAGCTTGGAGGTCCATCGCTCGTAAGGTCTGTCTGGTTCTGGGCTCCTCCGGCCCGGTGTCCTGGTTCAGCACAATCAGCTCGCGAAGGTGCACCTCCGTCACCGCCGACCGACCGGCGTCGTTTCGACCCATTTCGACCCACGAACGGAACCGACTCCGTCGAGGCGCGCGTCGCGGAGAGAGACGCGTCGCGAGAGACGCGGCGCGAAGGGTTCTTCCGCGCCTCCATTGGTTCAGGCCACGCGATGTTCAGCTTTCGGATGGGCGTCGTACAGGTCATGAAGGTGTGGTTTCGCACTGCGAGAGCGCGGCACGTGGCGTGGAGTGCAGGTGGGATGCTCTTGGTCGGTGGCTTTAGAACGTTCACAATTCAGTCGCCCTTCGACATGAGCGCCACATGTTCAATTGAAAGGCCGGGTGGCAATGGTGCTCGTGCGGACTGACAAGCATGTGAATTAGAAAATAATTTGAACAAGAAGGACAGGACATGTCCCTCAATCAGTGAGAAAACAAAACAAATCACATCAAATTTCCCGAATCCTTGAAAAGTCTCCATCCCATTCCATCCCCGAAAAACGACCCTCAACCCTAAAAAACCCATGGCGTGCGGTCGATATCCTCCAGACCTCCTCTCGTTGGATCCGGAAAGCGTCGAGCAATAATCCCAGGAGCTGCTAGTAGCGTCTTTGCTCCTAGTAGCGATGCCCTTTGCTCCTAGTAGCGATGCCCTTTGCTCCTAGTAGCGATGCCCTTGTTCCTAGTAGCGAACATTGCTCCTAGTAG